ATATATATATATATATATATATATAATATGAGACTTCAATATTATTTATCACTTAATTTAAGTCTTCGTATTGTACAATAAATAATAATGTCGTCAAATATGATAATGGCATGATATATAGTTACAAAGTATAATTTAAAATTTAAACCATACACGGAGAGTGACTGTGTTAAAAGGGAAACGGAAGCATTGCTGTACCGATGTTGAAACCAGGAAAGAGTTGGTAATTCCTTTTGTTATGCGGTGCTTGACTCTCGACACAATACAGCACTCTCATAAATAATATAATTAAATAATTATATAAAATAATTAAATTAAATGTAATTAAATTTTATATAACGATTGACATTTTTATCGAAGGTATCGTGTTACAGTATTCCAAAAAGTTATGTTTCAATTGATATATAATAGTGAAATAGAATAATCGTTGCAATTAAAGTGCAGAACAAATTGGGAAATCGCAATACTAGGAACGTATATCACGATCAAAATTAATTACCGCGCGGAATCGGAAGTAGGTGCGATTTGTGATTAGCTTCCGCTAAAAATGCTCTCCGTGCATGGCAAAATCTATTATATAAAATATATATATACATTATTATGTATATAGATATTTTGTCTTGTTAAAATTAAATTTAATAAATATTTTCTTTGATGGTTTTCAATTTGTAGATTTATTGTTTTTAGCATGCTACTTTACTATTCTCGCCGCATGAGACTATCTTTGGACAATGAAATTCCTCTGGATAATATATATTGTTTTCGTTCTAAACACAATTTTATCTGATATGTAAGTAGTGTGACAATAAAATTCGGCGAATGTTATGAGAAAATAAACACTACTTAATATATGAATGATTTTTATTATTTTTTAATATAATCATCTTCAGAGACAATAAAATTCTGCCGTTTGTACACAGCTTGCAGAACGTGGTGAAAAATCATCTTGTCTTGTTACATGGTTCTGAATATCTGAAATGTTTATAAATCAAGTCTTTTTTATAGCATTCTTTAATTTAGAACAAAAAGAAGTAAACGGAAACAACATTGGAGAAATAGGAAAAGTACAAGTGATTCAAAACGATAATGTAACACTGACTCAACAATTGCCGTGGACACGTTTTAAATCAGAGCCGTATGACAACAAGACTTAAGGCGATATTCAAACTTTTCACAAAGTTTCCGCAAACTACGGAAAGAAGTCAGAAGTGTATTGTCCCTAAGGAACTTTGATAAATGTCATTTGTACATTAATTGATGTTTATTTTCTTATAATATTCGTCGAACTTTATCGTCACATCACATATAAAATTAATATTTAGATACTTATTAATTTTTTTTAATATAAAATCAAGAGAGAAAAAATGTGTAATTATTAAAAATTATAATTGCTCCTTTTTTAATAATCACTTAATATTAAAATTGTTTTCATCGTATCGTTAAATTTATATTCTAGTTAATTTTTAATGCAGAAGAACTTCAAATTAACAGGAGAATTTTAAATTGACGATTTCTTAATGTTTAACAAACTAAAAAAAAAGTAATTTAATAAATTGCCAGTAAAACATTTCACTTAAAATGTTATCAAAATTTAAAGTTGAAAAGGGTAAGTTTCAAAATCTGTATAGATATCATTAATCTTTCTCAAGTATAATAAGTATATATTCTTCAAATCTTTATTTTTTATTAATGTCTCTGTCTGTTTTTATTAATGTTTAATAAACGATTACGTCTACTTGTATTTTAAAATTATTTAGAATAATAAAGTCTCACACGTTTTCACAATCATATTTTGGAAATTTAGAGCTCTTGGGGTATGCGATAATTACTTGGATGTTTGCTGCAAACCACCGGATCTACAGCCACCAGCCACGCCTAAACCAATCGGTAGAAAAGGATGTGGACAGCGACATGCTGAAGGAGTTGGTTTCAGGATCACCGGTCAAACCGATAATGAGGCTCAGTTCGGCGAATTTCCATGGATGGTGGCTATTTTGAAAGAAGAGGCTATTGGCAGCAATGGCCAGAAATTAAATGTTTACCAATGTGGCGGAGCTCTTATTCACAGGAAGGCTGTTCTCACTGCAGCTCACTGCGTCAATGGGTCAGTAGGTTTGCAATGAACATATTTCTGATAACAAATAATATTTTTACAAGCAGTTGTTCGATAACCTTAGTTAATAAAAACTTACATCAAGTGTGTTTATTTATCGGAGTATATGGATAAGCAACTTTCACATTAAGTACATTCGAATAAATATTTTGCATTCTGTTGTCAGTTGCTTGTTATTTTATCTTATTCATTAAAAAAATTTTTAATATTTTATTCATTTAAAAAATGATATAAAATTCTAAAAAATCTATTTTAAAAATAATATATCTTTATTAAATGTTTACTTTTATCTAGAAGTGTGAAAATATACATAAAAACCTATTAATGCATAAAAAATATACGTATAAAACACGGAAAAATCCAAATTTTTTTTTTATTTGCACAAAATCTTATGTTAATAATTGTCTGCAATACGGATTGCTAAGAGCACATATATTTTTATTCGTCTTTGTAACGAAACAAACAACTGGATACTAGCATCCTAACTTGTACACACACAATCTTGACATTATCAGATTTTTTTATAAGTGAATCTCGCTACTGAATCCCGCTATGTATCCATTTTTCTTAAAATTCATAAAAAAAGTCAACTGTACCTCAAAAGGATGACATTGCTGGTGGAAGATTAACGATGCATTACGATCAAATAGTAAGCAGCCACAGGAGCTGAAAATTCGCGCGGGAGAATGGGACACACAGACGAAGAACGAAATCTATCCGCATCAAGACCGCGAAGTTGAGAAAGTCATAGTTCACGAAGGCTTCCATTCCGGTGCGCTTTACAATGATTATGCCGTCCTGATCCTCAAAACTCCAGTCGAGTACGCGGAGAATGTTGATATCGTGTGTCTAGCAGAAATAAACGCAAACTTTGACGGATCCAGATGTTTCGCCAGCGGATGGGGAAAAGACATATTCGGTACGTCTTTTTTGTATGTTGTAATATGCAAAGAAATGAATATTGATCGATTGAATCTCTTAACAATATCTTTAACTTAATATTTATATACATATTAATTTTTTAAAGTAACTGGCTTTGTTTAACAATTGATTAGTAATTGTATAGATAAACCTGAATATGCAAGTGATAGTAATGATACAACATATTTCGACAATGCTAACAATATTTCATTATCACAATGATATATGCCATAATAAGTGACTTCTATATAATACAATGATTTACATGAACATGTAAAATCATTGAATAGACGATTATTCATTGAAGATAATTCAAAGCTGTGAATCAAAACGTTTACATTGAATTTAATTTATAATAAACAATATCAAATCTTATTAGACCGTGAAAATTTAAACCAATCTTATTACAATTAATTTACAATAGATTTATTAAACGTGAAAAATTATTGTTCTTATAGGCATCTCGGTGATTATGTTTTTTGAAATCTTTTCACTATTTTCATATATATAACAATATAATAATATAAAATAATAATATAATGAAATTTAATTACAGGCAAAGAGGGACGTTATCAAGTGATCTTAAAGAAGGTGGATCTTCCGATAATACAACATAATACGTGTCAAAATGTTATGCGTACTACTAGATTGGGAAAATACTTTCTTCTAGACAAAAGTTTTATCTGCGCGGGTGGAGAAGCAGGAAAAGATACCTGCAAGGTATATTTGAAATATGTTTCACAGAAATTCTTTAAGCTTAAAAAATTCCATAATGTTTTATTTTCAGCGATATACATATAGCATTTCGATGATTCAGAGGTACAAAATTATAGAGAATAATTCCAAATTTTCTTCGAGAGAGAATCGAGAAATTCATTTATCTTATAAAATACGCGTGATAAACTCAGAGGAATGTTTTCTAACTTCCTTGCTTCTACAATTATACTTTATTGTTCATGACAATTATATTTAAAGGATAGATCAAGAACGAGTAAAAATAATATCAAAAACATCTAATATATTACCTTCACTTATGTTTATGTAACTTGCGAAATATCAGTAATACCGTTCTTTTAAATACCGATATGAAAACTAAAGATTTCAAGCTTTAAAATGCGTTTTTAAACATCTCGATAATCCTTGATAAAGTTATTCTATCACGAAATTTACCTATTATTACAGGATAGAACAAGTGATCCTTTAACTTTTTAAGTAGCGTGTATTTAAAAAAAAGATGAGCATGAACTGGAACAATTATTTAGTAGTTGGTGCTAAATACAGGATTAAGCGCGACCTTTTCCTTACAATGTTCTGTGAAGGAACTTCCATGTTTTTTTTTATATTTTGTGTGTTATTAGATAAAAGTAATTTTTTAATCTTTTCATTGCAGGGCGACGGTGGAAGTCCCCTCGTGTGCCCACTAAGGAATGATCCGGCCAGATACGTTCAAGCTGGCATCGTATCTTGGGGTCTTGGCTGCGGTGAAATGGGAACTCCCGGCGTTTATGCTAATATAGCCTATGGTCGTCAATGGATCGACGAGCAAATGGCCTTCCACGATTTGGACAACAGCGTTTATCAGTATCCCAATTGATTTTTCTGCGCCCCAATATAAGATTTAATAATTTTAGCAGATCACAAATAATTCCATTAATATTTAAATATTGAGTTCTTCTTACGTCAAATATTCTACATTGACGACAAATGTGATGTTTGATAATAAGTTACGTTAACAGTCGATATAGAATTCCATGAATCTCTCTAATATATGTTAAGAGATCTGCATTCTTTTATGTTTGTCACTTGAATTATCCATTTAAAAGTGACTGTTGATTTATTTAGAGTGTTGTATTACTCATAATTGGTGGCACGACCAATTAAACATTGCCCCTAAGGATAACTTCTACCTTAATCGGCCGATTAAGTTAATCGAAGTTGGTAAAAGTTACCCTAAGTGTTAGTCCCTTAATGTATATTTTTAATATTTTTTAAAACTATTTCAAAAATACTTTTTAAAATTTGTGTCAAATAAATAAAATCTTGAAAAAATAAAATCGAATCATTAAACATTGTAAAGATGGAATCACACCAATCAAAAAATGCTACGAAGCATTTGTAACATCAAGTGAACCGTAGCCTAAATTCAACATAAAGAGCATAAGTCTTATTTAATCAAAAAGTATAATGTTGATCTAAATTACTTTATCAGTATTACTTTGTGCCAAATTTTTGCGTTTTGCGAGAGAGGAATAAAATTATTTTTTAAATAAATAAATCGAAAAATTCAATTTGAATTTTAATTATTTAAACATTTGCACCGCAATAATTTTATAGGACAGTTTAAGATGAGTACTTGTTAAATAAAGACATAAAAATAAAAATGGAATGGTTTCGAAGGGTACGTGTTTTAGTCATGTTATTTTTGTCTAAGTGGAGACATAAAAAGATGTTAAGGGTCACCACTACTTTTTATAAAATAGAATTTAACTTTTTTTTACATAATATGATTTCTTTAACAATTATGCAGTATGAATAGTTTACGAAATATTTTATACTTTATTCTAACGTATGTTGACATAAAATATTAAATATATATTTCGTAAACTATTATTTTTTTGATAATCATATCTTATTACTTTTATGAACAGAATAATGAGACAAATCAATTTGTGTAAAAGAAACACATAATTGCTAAAAAAAATTATCCATTTTGTCTATATATTCTCTCTGAAGAAACTATGTGTTTTATTTATATTAATTGATTTGTTTCTATTTCGCATGTAGAAACTTTGTGTGCTCTGTAAATTTTATTTTCGAAACTGGATACATATATATTATATATGTATGTAAATGAATCTGCATAACAACAATATAAGTATTAAAATAATACTTTATAATGAAATTGGGTTTTTACACAAAATGGTACATGTACCACTGCTATTATTTACAATGTTAATACTCTTAGAGATATAACGTTGATATGAAAATTCATATCATATCAACTTAATTAAATTTTTTCATTCATAATTATATCGATCATAATAAAAGAATTTCTTTTAATATTGTCGCTATGGATACAATTATATTATTTTTTCTTTTTTGTTGATATGGTCCATTCGTGTTGCAATTCACGTAACATTTGTGGCGTCAAAAGCCCTTCTGCTATTAATCTTTCAGTCAATTTTCCCTTACCCACACCACGTCTGCCAGTTCCTTTGAAATCTAAAAACATTTGTCATGTAATTTAGCACTCAAGCAATTGAGTAGTTTTTTAAATACATAATAAGGATTTACCTCTGTAAAAATTTTGCTTTTGTGTCTGCAATTCAAAACTATCGTTTTCTCCACCTAAATAATGAAAAAAATTTCTGTGTTAAACATTTCAAAACTATTATAAAAATCAATTTGATATAACATAAAATTATATACACGCGCGCGTGCACAAACATATATTTCTATGTACAGAAGATTTTTAATTGTACTGTAAACATTTTACGTTTCAAAAACAATCTCGTTTACCTGCTTCCGAATTGAACAATAAATTTGTTAATTTAACTATTCCTGCCTCGATAAGTGCATCGAGTTCCTTCTGCATATCACGGATCATTTCAGCATCCGGGAAGAGGTCCATGAAACGGTAACTACAAAATACAAGATAAAGAAAATGAGAACATCAAAAAAACAATGATACATAATTGAATAATACAATCTTATTATACCTTAGCCATAAATAAAGGTCTAATACATCAAAGACGCCTTCCAAATGGACTAGATCGATGATAGTTCTTGGCATTTGAAAGGGCCATCCGATATGTTGGCATAACCAGTTGAATGTTATTGCATCATTTTTACTGTATTGACGTGCAAACTAAAAAAAAAAAAAACATTTACGTATACTACAAGAAATACACATAAAAATAAAAATAAAAAATTTTTTTTAAATAAAGCAGATCTCATATTATTACTCATTCTTTTTCCGTAATAGCATTTTAATTATTAGCTTTAAAAATCAGTATATAAGTAATATAATACTTGCTTTCAAAAACATGGTGCACACATATGGCGATTTCCGATTAATTGGTGCACAACAAAATACATATCTTGCACGGAGTGGCAGTAAAACATGCTGTATCATATCGGCTAAGAATTTAAAATCATCTATGTGGCACATAAAGTAAAGAGAATCATCGACTGTGCATAACGATACGAAGATATCCTAAAATGAATAAAACATTAAAACGGCGTTATTTATGATTAATTATAATTAATTCTACGTTGTTATTTCCGCGTGAGATTTACCATTAGATTTGATAATGATGAATTTGGCAAATGATAAGCATACAGCTCAATTTGATCCGCTGTTGGATGAAGACCAGCTTGTGTTATTGTTTCCGGTGTTTGACTCAACAAATTTTTCAAAGTTGACAAATCTTCTCGTTTAAATGTAGTTACATAGCCCTATGATGTAAGCGCGGGATTACTATAATTCAATACTTCCACATTTTGTTCTGTATTGTCTTTTTTGTGATGTTCAGAAAAATGAACTATTATTACTTACTATATCCCAAGCTGTGCCATAACGTCCGGCACGACCTGCTATTTGTAAAGCCGCCGACACAGATATAACGTCCATTTCTTTTTCACCTTTTTCATTAGATGTTGGTTGAATCAATGAATAAAATATAATTCTTCGAATATGCCTATAACAATACATGATACATTTAAAACAATCGCTTTTAATGTGATGTGCATCTATATTACTTAAAATTTCAAACAATAAACGTACAAATTTAAATTCAAGATACACGTGCATTAAACTTACAAATTCAAACCCATTCCAATGGCATTGGTTGCTACCAAGATCTTACAAGAATTGTTAGGATCATTAAATTTCGCAGCTTGCGCCAGCTTAGTACCTGGTGGTAAGCTGCCATATATAACAGCCACTTCTTTTCCTCTGCTCTCTAGGGAACGCGACACAGTGTATATATCATTTTTGTTAAAGCAAACTATGCAATCTCCAGGCATAACGTTATTTAACGTTTCAACAGCTTGATTTTCTACCTCCAGATCCGTTAATCGTTTATATCTGCGAACTTCTACGTTTTCGCCCGTTGAAACGCATATAGCTTTTACCTACATGTAGCTTTTAGTTAATAAACATCAAATATTAGAACATAATTTGTAAATGTATATAAAGATAAAAGATACCAATTCTATAGCAGCAGCTTCACCGCATAAATGTATCTCATCCGCAGGAATTCCTAGAAGGGCCCTCGTCCACGCCCAACCCCTATTAAGATCACGCATTAACTGAATTTCATCAATCACAGCTACTTCATCTGCAATAGATTGCATTGGCAATTTTCTTGTGTAAATGTTAAAAATATTAAATTACTCACAATTATTTTGTAGATTTGCCATTTCTACAGAACATGATAAATGATTTGCTGAATTATTATAGCCTTTGACATACTTCCGTTCTTCTCCAGTTAATAAATCACACGGTGTTCCCTAAAAAATAATGTTAAATACATTATTATACCTTTATGTTATCTTTGATGAATAACTAAAATAAATATATCTACCCTTTCATTGCATCTATGAAATACTTCTGCAACCAGTAACTTTAATGGTGCACAATACACCCCACTTTTTGCAGTAATAAATCTTTCTAGGGCATGGTAAGTTTTTCCACTATTTGTTGGTCCAGCGTGAAAAATTATTTTTCTATTTTTTGATCTTGCTAGAGGATACCTAAAGAAAATGTTAAGTTTTGTTACTTTTATAAAGTTTTTTTTTTGATGTATTAAAAACATATACATATACTACTTAAAATAATAATATAGTAACTGTATATTAATAAGATAGTAAATCTTGATAACTTTAATATTAGATAAATTTATATTTTTTTCTTACCAAGTAGCAGGACTTCGTAGATCGCTAATTTTTTTGAGATCGTCTAAGCAATCAAGATGTGGAAATATTTTCTTGGCATGACTTATAAAGTATGGGAAAATATCGGAAACATTTCTAGCATCTTGCAGGATATCACTCAGGACTACATAGAGATCCACAGGTAATGATTCTGTTCCTAAACAATACTGTTTAAAGTTTATGAAAGCTTGTCCCTGGAGATAGCCTGAAATCAATGTCACAATTAGAAACCATGATCAGTGATATGTATTGATTGCCTACGTACTGTGTAATCCATATTGCTGAGCTAGTTCCTTGATTTCTGTCTTTTGCGAGAAGGCATTCAATATCTTCAAAAGATCTGTTTTCTTCAAAGAAGAGCCAGTTAATTCAGCGCCAACGTTTATATCATCTGGATTTGGTTTGATGGGTACAGGATGGAACAGAGATTCTGGTACGTTCGTATTACTGTCGCTTTTTTTACCTCTGGAAGGTTGGACATAACATGTACCAAGAGCTGTTGACCTAGCATTGAAAGCAAAAAATAAGAATGATAGAAATCGCATTAGAATTGAAATATTATCGGAGTTATTTCTGTGTATCGTTTAATTCTTGTTGTTTACTCAATATTAAACAAGGATAAGATGATACTCGAAGGTACCTGGATAACATTTCTGGACACAGCCTAGCAACATTCTTCAACTTGATCTTGCAATATCAATTCATTAAAGAGATAATTTAAAGAAAAAAGAAGAGATACGATCAAAATTTATAGATATATATAATTTTTAATATCTAATTCTAAGAAGTATGTGTATTAAGGAACACTAGTACCTGCGTACAAATGCTGCCACTGATAAAGCGCCTTTTTGCATCAATTGTTCTGTCATAGCACATTTAAAAAGTATCATCTTTCTTTCAATCGTGGGCAAAGTCTTGACCACATTACAGAAAATCAGAAGTTCTAAGCTTGCAGTGTGGAGTCGCGTCTGGTGGAGTAGGTAGTGGCGTTGGAAATGTTGGAATCCGATTGTCCGACTTTTGATCACGAAGAAAAAAACCTGAGAGGGGTCATCTCGACATTTTGCGTACCGTCGAAATTGCCGGTACACTAGCGCCAGTCTATCTATTTTCAATTTAGAAACTACATAGCTACGACGTATTGGCGGTAATCGGTAATTATTATCAACCGCTTCACGCATGATGGCAACGCGACGTTTCGAAATTTCAGCTGACGTTAGAAGCCATTAGAAGCTACGCGTTCGGCATTCGGCACTTCAACAGTGGATATTCATGGCTAGGGTTTTACTAAGAAATGCGATGCACTTAGCTAGACATCCAAAGAATAGTTGGACAACGAGGATAAGCAACGAGAGATACATCATGATGAGCCGAACGAGACTTGAAAAGGCTTTGGAGGAATTGCAGAGGAATCCCTACTACGACAAGTACGCTCAGAAAATTGCAAAACTGCAGCAGACCAGTCCGGAGCAGTTTCTGCAGCGCGTCGAGCAGCAGGAAAAAATACGTGAGAAACAAGGTAATACGATCTTCGCGAAGCTTACGAGTTGATGCTTCTGTTAATTTAGTATTGCATTGTTGAAGTTGATTATATTATACTACCTGTATTTAGATACTATTATATAGATTATTTAATTTTTTTGAGAAGACACAGTCGACAAAAACGTCGTTCTATTCTTAATATTCAATGAATAACAAAGTTAGAATTACACTTGTGTTGACTGTGTCTCTTAAAAGAAAAGTAGCCATAAGTAGCTTTTAATGTACACTAATCCAAATACTAGTGATTAATAACAAAAAATATTTGATATTATGGTTCTTAAAACAGCATATTAATGCTAAGAATACTAATTTTTAAGTAAAGAGAATTATTGTTTCGATAAAGGATGTTTAAATCGTTGTTGTTAAAGAGAAACATAAGAAAGCTGCTAATTTCTACGAAACTGAGGCAAAACCAGCTTTGGAATCTGGTATACAGATGAAAGAAACGCGATTGGATAGTATAATGAAAATTGACATGATAAAAGATAAATCAAAAGAGGAGATTATAAAAATATGGAATGAGTATCACAAACAAAAGGATTGTATCTGTGGTACGATGATGCCTGAGCAGTACGATAAGATGTTTACACGCAGCAAGCAGTACTCTACCTTCCTTTTACCATTACCAAGAGAACAAAGCTATGAATTTATAATGTGTCAATTCTATGGTTCAGAAGTGCACATGACTCCACTCTTATGGTACCAGACGCACAAGGAAAACGCACCTGAGTGTTTGACTATGATATATTATACTGAATTGAGAGAGGATAAAGACATTGTACTCATGCGTGGAGAATTTGATACAAAATTACTACAAGTGCAGGAGGCACAATGTCTAGCTAATGAATTGCTATTATATTATTGCAACGATCATGAACACAGATTACAGTTACTTGAAACGTTTACCAATAGACCTGATAAATTTAAGCACATGGATCTCATAGCCCAGTTAGAAACATTATCTTTAGAGTTGAATAATGTTGAGACAAAGATATAGAAATAAGAAATTATTTAATGTATATTGTAACTGTATGTATAAAAAACTAGTAGAAAATATAATAAATGTTTTTAAGACGACGAGCCTATATATCATTTTTTCCATAAATTCATGAAAAATGTTTTTATTATGTCTATCTTGTAACAATCGTGCAACATAAAACGTAGCTTTAATATTATAAAAAATATGATACTTTATTTTTTTCGTTAAAAATTTTTTTAATGTAAATTCTAATTGTTCACATAATAATAATAATTATAAATTTAAATTTCAGTTAGATACGTAATTGCAAATTATCAGTTCTCGAAATCCGTGACATTTTCATTCTTATTAAAAAATATGCGGTTGTCTTGGAGTCAAACAATAAAGAGGCACTATGTAAAAGATTCATCTCAAAATAAGTTTATTACTACACCGATTTTTTATGTAAACGCTGGTATGTAACTTTTTAAATCAATTCCTGTTATTAATATATGAAAGTTATTATATATGAAAATAATAAATGTATATATTTAAAATGTAGGTCCTCATATTGGACATTTATATAGTGCAGTTTTGGCTGATGCCATTGTTCGATACAACAATATGTTAGGTCACAAAACATTTTTTACCACTGGCACTGACGAGCACGGTAACAAGATTAAAGCCGCCGCAGCCAAAGCTAATCTACCGAATCTCGAGTATTGTACAAGAATTTCACAACAATTCAAGGAAATGTGCTATAGATTTGAAGTGGATTATTCGCGTTTCATTAGAACCACAGAAAAGCAGCATTGTGATGCAGTGTATCATTTTTGGGTTCTTAGAGCAAATTTATTTCTAAATGTCAAATTTTATATATATATTTGTGATATCGTGTAACTCACATTAGAAAACTAAACACTTTCAGAAACGGTTAGAAGAAAGAGGACACATCTATCTGGGAAAATACTCAGGATGGTATTGTGTATCGGATGAAGCATTCCTCAGTGATGCAGAATTAATGGAACAGAAAGATTCGACCGGAAAAGTAATCAAAGTCTCCACAGAATCGGGAAATATAGTGGAATGGACTGAGGAAGAAAATTATAAGTTTCGACTTAACACATTTCAAGACGATCTCAAGTATTGGCTCAAAGATGGTATAAAAAGATGTTGAATCTTAATCTAATAATAATTCATTGGCTGCACTCAGTAGAGAAAACTGATCAGTGAGCGCTTTGATTGTGATTATTTAACACGGTTTGATATTTACATTTAGATTCAGCGAAAAACTAAAGACAAAAATCAATTATATTAAAAAATCACTAAACGTTTTTACTAATCAGTTTTCTCTGCTAAACGTGGCCATTATTTTTCTTCCTTTTATGATTGCAAATTGTAAATTTCAGATCTTTTGTAGAAAATACAGTTAAACCAGCGCTGTATCACAAAATGTTATCCCAATGGATAGACGAGGGTGCATGTTTACAAGACTTAAGCATTACCAGAATTAGGAACAAAATGCCATGGGGTATACCTTCCCCATGCGATGAATCTCATTCGATATATGTATGGCTGGACGCCTTAGTAAATTATTTAACGGTCTTAGGATATCCAAATGAATCATACAAAGAACTTTGGCCACCTACTATTCAGGTATGGATCATAATTCTTGGTTAATAATATTATATGAAAATTATCAGATTAAAATATAAATTATATCAGAGAAAATTATTGATATAGATAATTGGAAAAGATATTTTGAAGTTTCATGGTATCTATTGGCCAGCATTTTTAATAGCGGCAGGTCTCGAACCTCCAAAGACGTTACTGTGTCACGCTCATTGGACCATTGATCACAGAAAAATGTCGAAATCAAAAGGAAATGTAATTTCGCCCTTTGAAGCTGCAAATAGTTATTCAGAAGAAGGATTACGATATTTTATTCTGAGAGAAGCGGTACCGCAAAATGATGCAAGTAAGATAAATCATATGCATTTACTTATTGCATATCATTTACATTAAATCTTTTAAAAATCTATATTTGTAGATTATAGTTCAACAAAAATTATTAATATATTGAATTCCGAATTGGCGGATACATTGGGCAATCTAGTTAATCGTTGCGTGGGTAAAGCAGTCAATCCATCTAAAGAGTTCCCCAATCCTGCAAAATATTGGAACGTGTTGCAGTCTCAGGTTGCTGATGAAACCAGGGAGAGTTTAAAATCCGTAGGCAGAAAAGCACACGAGAGTTACGAGGAATACAATTTACATCATGTTGTGGATGCGGTCATGAATATGCTTCATTGCGCAAATAAGATGGTGGCGTATCATGAGCCTTGGCAACTGAGGAAACAAGTCAACAATGCAGATTCGATCGAGGAACTTAAAGCTGTGATATCACTTGCTCTGGAAAGTAGTAGAATAGGTGCTCTAATATTATATCCAATTATACCAAGATTGAGCAGTAGTTTGCTTGATTTTCTAAATATTCCAAAGGAAAATCGCACGTGGGCGAATACTGTGCCTGAATTTTTCAACAAAAATATTGTGAAAGAAAGGCATATTGAACATAATAATTTGCTATTGTTTAAAAAAATAAGAAATCAATAAATGTTTACATATATTATTTGTGTATTGATTATAAAATCGTGTGAGGGAAGAGTGTACTAAATTTATATCTAAAAATTTCAAAATAATTAGACATTTAACGTAGTTATACCCTAAACCCTAATCCTTCTTGCAAAGTGCTGCATATTTGTCTTTCCAAAATCGAGATATTACAAAATTTAAAACCAAGCATAAAACAGTAAAAATAATAAAATAGATATCAAAAAATTAATGAAAACCAAAATATTATATCTCATCTTTTTCACTACGTATCAAACTAGATAAAGTATGAGATACCCCTACGCATTTTACACACGTTGTACTAGAGTTTGCCGAACTAAATCCCCGTGATTGCGTGAAGTAACAACGTCGTAACTACAGCTACACGAGATGACAATTTGCGAGCGGTATTTTTAAAAAAGTTATAGAAATTTATATCCCGTTGGGATATGTCACACCCTACCTAGTGCACGGAGGGTTAATAATTTAGTAATTTCTATATTTGCGCAATATTTAAATAATCTACAATTTATAATTTATATATTATGTTTATTTTCTTTTCTTTTTTTAAGAAAATTTTATTTCTATCTAACAAATTTAACCTTTACTATAAAAAAGAAAAAAATACACGCGCCAATGGATTATTTTATAAATATTTTATAAATATTGTGCGCTGTCTGGACTGGAACCATTGGATGTCATCACGCAGACTATCATATAGCGATAACTCGATCTGCGACCAAACAGGCCGTATTGTGTTATCGTTATCGCAAAATACGTGTAAGCTTTATTAACGTAAATTAAAATGGTTAAGAGTTATTTTAATAAAGATTTTTTCAATTAATAAAGTATTCATACAAGGAAATTTTTTATAAGGAAACTTTATTAGTAGTAAATATAAAATTAATTAGCAATTTTATACAATAAATATTAATACATTCTGTTTTAACATAAACAAACGAGCTTTGCGTGTAATTCTGATTATATAGAAGCTATATATTTCTCAATTATACGAATATCTTGAGCATCCAAATAATAAAATTTTTAATTTTTCCTTATTTTTAAGATATATTTTATACAATTATTACACATCTTTTTGGTACATATTGGTATATTTAATATTATATAAAATATGATTATCTCAAGCAATATATATGTGTAAGTATATACTTTAATAAATATTATTTAAAAAGCACTTAAAAATTACATTTATTTATGTAATGTTTATGTAAGACAAATTAATATAAGACAAGATTTTTAATTTATCGATTAATCAAATGACATGTGCGGTTGATCAGTCGATGAATTAAAAAAATTCGCCTATCTTCACTTATTAGTTTTATTTGTCTCTTTAAATTTACTAATGACGCTGCGACAGAACGCTGCATGGCGAGCAAAGGGTTAATTTCCCGTAAAACAAATTAAATAATAAAGAATGTTCCATCTTTCTTGATAACACAATGTGTAAGCGACGATGTATTAATAACATATACAATCTGATCTTATAAGAAGACATCGTTCAGTTGAAAGAAACTGTAAAGACTTTATTTCTACAAATATGTTTATGCAGTTTGTACCTCCCGTAAATTTTGCAAGTTAGGATGCGCTACACGAGATGAGAGTCCGACTAGATCGGAAATTCAGCAACGTCTTGGCACTAATCTGGCACAAGTTCTTTTCGACTACAGCCATCAAGAAGCTGTGACGCTGTTAGATTCAGTACCTGCCAAACTTTCACAGCAATTATGTTGCATCTCGGAAGACAGTCAGTTAAAGGCAGATGCTATAGGAACGTGGGCGGAAAAGCAGAAAAATTTAAAATCGTATCTACATAGTGATATTCTAGGTACTCACTGAATTTGTACTGGATAAAACATTAAAAGTAATCCATATTACTTAATATTTTATACGTATCGATATATATTATAAATTTTTGATTTATCAGCACTGGGCGAAGAAGAATTGAAGAAATTTCAGACAGAAATCGAAGTGATAACACAGAAAAAAATGAAGGATGAATTTGCAGAGGAATGTCGTATACTGGAAGCTGAAAAGAGATTCGCTATTAGATGCAACGCAGATGAAATTCATTCTAAATATGAGGAATATTTCAAAGCTGCTCAGCAAGAATTGGCGGAGAAGTTGCAGGTGACTAATATACACAATATACATAATATATAATAAATGAAAATTTATTAAAAATTATACAACAGGTAGAGTTGATGGATACAGATGTAAAACGTAATAAGGAATTGCAAGAGGCTATCACAAAAGTGCAAATGGATACAACACGCGATGTGCTAAGAAAAATTCGGCCTCAGATGAATTGGGTTGTTACATCTCTTTATAATGAACTTGAGCAAACTCGCCGCGCACAGAAAGAAAAAATGATTATTGAATTTAATAGCATTATGAGGTATCTAATATAATAGATATAGAGCTGTAATAGATAGGCTATATGTAGAGTCCAATTATTACAACTTTTAAAATATTTTTAAAAAGTTTTTAAAACATCATATATAAAAAAACTGAACTTGAGTTTTATACACAAAGAAAACAGCATCTCAAATTTGATGCAATAATCACGGAAATTGAGAGGAAGAAAATGGAAGAGTTGCATATTCAACGTCATGAACTCGAAACACGAAATGTAATGAATATTTTTTATACTTTTTTCTTGGAAGGATTACGTAACAGTTTACAACTGCAAGCAATAAACAAACATTTTGAGGTAAATATATATATGTATCCATTTTGCGAATGAAATTACAAAATATCTGGATTTACACATGTAGAATCTTTCTTTCCGAGACGATTAGATAAAGTATTAAGAAAAAAATTAAAACCAATATACATCTTATTCAATTGTCTCACTTTATATTTTTTATATAATAATAAATACACATTTATTAAGAAAAGCGATTTAAAATAAAATAATTGATTTATACATATAGTAGTATATATCTTTATATACCGTTTTATCATAATAAGAAACAGTATTAATTTAAACATTATGCATTTAAAATATATAGGAAAAGATTAAGTCATTACATGAACTTATTGCTAAACAAGAAAAAACTATGAATACAATGAGAGAAAAAATTACAAAATATCGCAGTAAAAACAAAGTGCTTCAAGAAAAAATTGATGCTCTTACTAAGGAATTTCAAAAATTTATAAATTTTGCATTTAATACTTTACCAGAACATGCTGACTTTTTATTGCCATTAGATTTACTTTCTGTAAATAGTACAAATGAAGAAGACAGATAAGCAAGAAAAAAAGCGATAAATAAGTTAAAGACAAAAATGTACTTTACTGGAATAAAATGTTATACATATATTATTATATAACAAATAAAATATAATTATATCAGAATAAATGTTATTTATATTTTATAATACAAATATAAAATGTATACCAAAAATTCTCTATTCAAGCTTTTATTGAAAATAAACGTAGATACATAATTCTATTTACGTTTATTCTACATTTTAACAGTGAATTATATAACTAATTGCGTTTATAAATATTTACATTTGCTTCTATGGGTCGTGATCTTCGAGCATCCCAATTGATTCAATCTAATTTCTCCTTTTCCACCCTAATAAATACAACTCTTTTTGCACGCCTTTGATTAAATTCACAAATACATCGACAAATTAATAGTATCTTGTCAATAAAAAATATGTTAATCAAGCTATTATTAATCTTATTAACAAAGCGACAATCTCACGTACTAAGTTATACGTATTATATTTATTAATGACAGTAATCTTTTATTTCAGTGATATACAATGATATACAATATGAAATAGTGTCACAAATGATTGTTTCAATTATAACATTTCTTCATTTATTTCTTCTTCATTTTAAAGCTATGACGCCTCTGATGCTTTGGTGTCCCTAGATTATTCGAGCCTCAAAAGTTCATACGCTAATGCGCTATTGATAACCGAGAACCCGGATCAACAAATTTCAGCCTGGATAACGATTCGAAGTTAAATCCTAAATAATTAAACGGTCTAAATCAAGCTAAACGGATTTAATAATAATTATTATTGTTCTTAAATTTTACAATTTTAACGCTGGTCTAAAATGCATTTTCATTTATTATATACAGTCAACAAATCCACCACTCGATTTTTGAATTGTTTGGCGAACAGACATGGTCAATTCTCAAGAATTGATTAGATATCAATTATGTATCTACCGGAAAAAGACATTAAAAATGTAAAAGAAAAGCGTCAAGTATATTAATGTCATAAAAAAGAAGTGAAATCAAAATAATATATTTTGCAAAAACCAAATTTAATGCCATACAAAAGAAGTAAAATCAAAATAATATTTCAAGCATCTTTATTAAAATGCTCCTACAAAACACGTATCTGCATCTTGAAAGCGTCCTTTTTACGATCTTTGGGTATCCTTTAGGACTGTGCTGTATTGGATAATTATAATAAACTTTATAAAAAAATACATTTTATTCAATGTGTATAAAGTATATCAACACATTAAAATGAGAAAACGAAATGTAATAGATAGCCTAATAAAAGAGGCGCAGAAATTGAAAAAGTATTTTTACCTCGATAACAAGCAGAAAATCATAGACGATCGAAAATGAGCAAGATCTCCAGCAACACTCTAACTGTCACTTTACTCTTGGAAGGAGAAGGTGGGTGCTAATTTACGGGGTGTTGTTTTGATACAAGGTGGTGAGCACAAAAATCTCGTTGTGAATATTTTAGAAGCACATAAATCGAGGAACAATTTGAGAGTAAAACTAATTCGCTGTCTGCATTCTAACTGGCACTTTACTCTTGTAAGCAGACTGTGGATGCTAACTTATGGGGTGATTTTTCGATACAAGGGGGTGAGCACAAAAATCTCGTTGTGCATATTTTAGAAGCACATAAATCGAGGAACAATTTGAGCCTGAAACCTATTCGCTGCCTGCACTCTAACTGGCACTTTACTCTTGGAAGAAGACGCTTATGGGGTGATTTTTCGGTACAAGGGGATGAACACAAAAATCTCGTTGTGCATATTTTGAAAGCACATAAATCGAGGAACAATTTGAGACTAAAACCAATTCGCTGTCTGCACTCTAACTGGCACTTTACTCTTGCACCGTTGTTATAATATGTATCGAAAATTATAGATATCTCTGAAACCGTTACTGTTACAATAATTTTGATTGATGATATTGAAAGCACATAAAAAGCACATAATTTTACTGTACTATATTTTTAATTCTGTGTATGATTTAATAGGGGAGGTGCTAACTTAACGTTAAGCTAGCACCCCCACCTTTAATTGCGATTTCCTGCTAAACCGTTCGAGCACAAAAATTGGCATTACAGCACATAATTAGCACATAAATAGCACTTAATTCTGACATAGGTACCGTTTTGATTTTTTGTGGGGCGGTGCTAGCTTAACAGACATGTAGATAAAAGGTGTAGTAAAAGGGGATAAGATTTTGCAGTCTAGCGAAGACGACCAAGACGAAGACGACGATGACGACGACGACGTTTCTGAATTACATAAATCGGGCAGAAAAATGCATGCATATATTCATATCTCTGCATCTAGTGCACTTACGGATGTGATTATTATAATCTCATTTTAATTGTAAAAATCTATATATATCCCCAATATATTCATTTTTTTTAAATATCAATTTGTTTAAACAAAATGATAATTTTTTATTATAAAAAATATATCTCCTTCCTGTAAAGGATACTGTAGCGTCTCTTTGGACACCTTTTCTCATATTGATTCTTTCTTCATATAATTTTTTTTTATTTTTTCCTCATAATTTTTTTCTCATATACTTGACGGGAGACGCTACCGCATCTCCTGATATATAGTATATATATATACTTCATATATACAAATTGATATCAAATTATTACTAAGTTTACATAAACTCTCTTAAAGTTGGTGTGTGAGAGAAATTCCGCGTGTCATTTGTGTCAGCAATAAGCTCATATTTTGCTAGAACCTCATGCCTAGTAAGTAAGTAACATTTTGGAACACTTCAGCAACATTATAACGATGCTAAAATATTCCAAAATATTTCTTGCTTACTGGATGCATACATAATCAGACAGCAAAAATCGAGTAAAACTTTGATTAGTTTTGATTTTTGTCAGTTTTACCATAAATTTGCTATTATTTTGCATACAGTTTTGTTCTTATGACATGTCATATCAAGGACTTGATATTTTTATATATATATAAAAAAAAGTAATTTTTAAATTAACTAGAGCGTTGAAAACAGGAAGTTACAGAATCTTGTATTTAAAAAAAAATTACATAATATTTGCATAAGTTTGCATTTAAAAATTTAATATACACTTTGTACCTTAAACATACATAATTCATACGTTCTCAATACTTTCAACCGTGTGTACCGTCCTCGTAGTTTATATTTTACATATAATTGTATGAAAGATTTTTTATCAAGTACATGTAAGATCCCATATAAAACGAAATAAACGTTTTATTAACTATTTAGTATCTCAAGTAACATAACTGTGAAGCAATGGCTCGATTAATTCGTATCGCCTTGATCGTGGCTATAAATGTATTGATATGTATTCTTGCAAAAGATGAACGTTACTCTGATGAATACGATGATGTCGATGTTAAAAAACTTCTGGAAAATAAGGAATTGCGAACACAATATATAAATTGTTTTATGGAAACAGGACCATGCATCACACCACAAATGAAGTTTTTCACAGGTATTATATTTGTATTATTTATTAATTCTTTTTTCTTGTTTGATAGATTCTTTGATAAATACATAGATTTTTTAATGGTGGCATTGAAATATTTGTCTTTATAAATTATTTATTTATCTTATCTGATAAATTAAGCATTAGAAAAAAAATAAATAAGAAAATAAAATTTTTTATTTATTTTAAAGCTTTATTTTAATAAAATTTTAATTTAATGCTCAATTATAAATACACACTACTCAACAAAATTAAAGCATCACCTGTTCTACCCTACAAAAATAGGCAAACTTTGAAATAGAATAACTTCATCAAAAATCATTATATCGAGATTTTTTCTCTTTTGCTTCAACGTTGAATAATAAAATAACTCAGTGAAAGAAAATTGTACAGATTGAAAAAAAGCAAATTAAAAGTAAAGATTCACTTTGTCGGAAGCTTTAAACCACATTTGTGCGTAATTTTTAATTCACGCCGTATAATTTAGCAAATTTTGTAAACAAATTTGAGATCTGATACATCTTCATTTATATTTGTGTAATTTTATGAAATATCTATAATACTGTTTTTTGAAGTATCGATCTGAAAAGTAGAGCCTTCAAGTTTTAAAATGCTTTTTTAAAAATCTCGAAATTTGTCTATTTTTACAGGGTAAAACGGGTGATGTTTTAATTTTGTTGAGTAGTGTATATATAATTTTTAAGAATTGGAAAGAGTTTAACAAAGATTAAAGAAATAACATACGAGTCAAATATTTAACAAAACAAACTTGCTTTTAAATAAATTGTTATACAAAAATATTACAGTATATAGAAATAAAAAAGAAAAAAATAGAAAAGTTTTCTTAATAAAATCAATTTTTTTAATATATACATATTTTTATGCTTTAATTTTTTATATTATATTTAAATTTTATAAACTTATTAATCAGAAGCAAAATCAATTGCTAAATATAAATATAAAAGAAAGCTCTCTTGATTTCAGAGAAATTCAGTGAAGCTTTCCAAACTCGTTGCAAAAAATGTACTGAAAGGCAAAAGGAAATATTCGCACAAGGTATTGAGTGGATACAAAAGAATGAACCCGAAACATGGCAATTAATACTTTTAAAGGTTATAGAAAAAATGAAGAGAAAAGCTGCAGCACAAACATAATTGCAGCTGATAACACGAATAGATAGATAATGAACCCGATAGTTTCGACACATGCTTTTTCTGAATTTTCTCAATTAATTGTATATATGCATACATATTGTATATATACAATATATACAATTGTATATATACATATATGTATAGTAATAATTATTATAATGTATGTATCTTATAACATGACTACAATTTAATAACTCAAATAATACTTGTGAAGGGTATCTATCATGTATAATAGAATTTTAAAAAATTTTGTACAAATTGTCTTAATTAACATGTAATTTGTATTATCTTAATAGAAATATATAAGATAAAAATAAATTATATTACATTGCAATAAATTATACAAATAATCTTTTTTTTGAAGAAAAAGATATTCTAAAGAATATTTACTAATTAATTACAAAACTATAAACATTTAAATGGAATAAATAATGATTGTCAGGTTTACGTAACTTTGCATCTTAAATTTGTTATAAAAAATATATTGTATTTGTTAATTGTCTTGTTAATCGCAATCATCTATCTCCAATCCAACAATTTTCAGTAAATAATATTACATTTCCCTAATCTCTTTAATTAAAAAATAAATCTTAGCAAAATTATTCTCAAAAAATTTTGCAGTCGTATTAGGAAATCAACTGATTCAAATATTAGCATGAATAGCAATATAAAATTTCTTTTAATTTTTTAGCTAATTGATATAATAAATCATATGCTGACTAAAATATTATTCTAGAATTTATCTATTCAAAAAGAAAGGAAAATATAATATATATATATATATATATATTGATGTATAATTTTATTTTAAATACTTATTTAACATTTACTGATACGATTGTACATACATCTTATACATATACGCACAAAGTTTTTGTAACATTTTATTTGCATAAATAGATTACGCATTCCTTATTGTAACTAATAATAACATCTGCTTTAAAAGACAAGCCGCAATATTGAAGGATATTACTATAGGGTAAACCCGGTATAACGTCTGTGAAGCTAGCATATCATATATCAGCATCGCAAAAAATAACAACAGTTCTGCTTGCATCCACCATAGTTCTACAGTTCTATATTGGTTTTATCAACAGTTCTACCGAATTACATCCAGAAAACCGATTTAAAATATGAGATGCCAACTTCCCGTCTTACCATCCAGCATCTCATCGGATTTCGAACGTATGAGGTGTAAGGTGTAAAATACAAGAAACCAAAGAGTTCTATCGTTAAAACTCAATACATCAACAGTTCTGGCCAAAAAACCAAATAAACTGCTCGAAAACGGTATATATTAACACGTACAGGTGATATGCTAGCCAAATGGCGACAGTTCTGTGAGAAATGCGGTACTTATCGTGTAGATCTGACTGCGCCCTAACAAGTTCCGAAGAGTACTGATGAGAAAAATTATTTATTAATTTTTTAAACAATTTTCAATACCCGAAAAAGACACTTTTCATAGCATATGTGTGATATGCTGACCGTTTTGTAAGATTTCTGATTATTTCATTATAGTTTTAATATGATAGGTCTGATGTGGTTTTTGCGCTTTCTCTTAAAAATTCTGGCAATATGCATAATCTTTAATACCATTTTTCGATCGTTACTTACGTATACGTGCAGGTGGTATGCATTCCGTTTCTTAAGTTTCCTGACTACGTCGTAGTTCTAAAGTATACTTACAATGTCGTAAATTGAGGGCTTATTTAGTCTTACTCTTGGCATGACCCGGAATCAAAGACGGGGACGTGGTAAGATTTGAATCCATGTTTTTCTTTACTTTTTCCTTTTTATATTTTTTGTTTTTTTTAACACGATAAGAATCATAAACCTTTCAGAACTGTCGCCAATTGGTCAGCATATCACACATATGCTATGAATAGTGCCTTTTTCGGGTATTGAAAATTGTTTAAAAAATTAATAAATAATTTTTCTCATCAGAACTCTTCGGAACTCGTTAGGGCACAGTCAGATCTACACGATAAGTACCGCATTTCTCACAGAACTGTCGCCATTCGGCTATAGCATATCACCTGTACGTGTTAATATATACCGTTTTCGAGCAGTTTATTTGGTTTCTTGGCCAGAACTATTGATGTATTGAGTTTTAACGATAGAACTCTTTGGTTTTTTGTATTTTACACCTCATACGTTCGAAATCCGGTCAGATGCTGGATGGTAAGACGGGAAGTTGGCATCTCATATTTTAAATCGGTTTTCTGGACGTAATTCGGTAGAACTATTGATAAAACCGATATAGAACTGTAGAACTATGGTGGATACGAGCAGAACTGTTGTCATTTTTTGCGATGCTGATATATGATATGCTAGCTTCACAGACGTCCTGGTATATACGCCGCACCTATCAAAAATTTAATTTATCAATCATTATTTACTATGTTTAAAGCAAATTAATTATACAAATAAAAACTTTGTATCATTTACTACTGTAAAAAAAATATTAGAAATCCAAAATAATTTATTTTCCATATTAAAAAATAACTTTTTTAAACCCCTGCATTTTTACCATTTATCCCATAGGGGGGAGGTAATATAGCCACTCATATATAATTCATAAGAAAATCATAAATAATCTATAAATAAGATGTAAAATGACGACGTAACTTGCATTTGTTTATTAATATATGACAATTTTTATTGTTCAGAATGAAAATTGGAATACAAATAGGATTTAATAAAATTTTTTTAAATAGCTTCAAATCTTTGAAAATAATCTTTAAACGCTTAAGATTTATCAACATTTATGCATTAATGCAAAATATAATAGTTAGAGAATTAACAAAAACTTCTTAAATAGAGCGTCTGTGCTGCGGCACAGCATCCCGCTCGCTAAAAATTCCGTATATCCCAAATAGATGGGATATATATGACAACTAATTAAACAAACAATACAGGAGCAAAGTACTTGTATTTTGCTATACAACATGCTTTACTATTCCTCTATACATATGTATTGCAAAATAACCACTAAGTCTTTTACACGCTCTACAATAATCATTTTATGTAGATTATAAATTATGATGGTACTACTTGTTACAGTAAAAAATCGATTTAACTCGCAATAATTTCATTAATATTAACAGTAAAAAACTGAAATCATAACATAATACTAATATACCATAAAGAAATGTAACAAAACAAAGTAATTGACGGAAAATTATCCCCACTCCTTCTATTTTTTCTGACTTCTGCGGCGTATTTCTTGACGCGGCGTATATACCGGGTTTACCCTGTATTTAACTTTATTTATGAGAGAGTAATACAGGAGATGCAGGAATGTCTATCTTACTTACATTTCAATATCCCCACTACTGATATTTGAGAAAGAGAGAGAGAGAGGGGGAGAGAGAGGAGAGAGAGAGAGAGTAGTACTAGTAGTACTAGTATTAAAGTACTCTGAGACAATTATTCTCTGAAGAGGTTATAATAGTACAGAAATAAATTTCGAATAAAAAAACAGTTTGAGATAATCATGTTTGAAAAATAGAATAAAATAAAAAATTAATTAAAATAAAATTAGGAAAAATAAAATACACTACCGCGGAAATTAAAGCATTACTTCTCATATCTTCGAAAAATGGGTGAACTTTAAATAAGTATATAATTTAAAAAATAAATACACTTTTTTTCATATAAAAATTCAAAAATATCTAAAATAATTTTAATTTAAATAATTTTTTTTTATTTAAGGAGTAAAGCCACTCTAGAATTTTCAAAAAATTTTTTGTTTTCTTTTTTGCTTAAATGACTTTAAGATCTTAGAAATAAGGTACAAAAGGTCTTTCTTATAGGGAAGAAAAATTCCTAAGTGTCATTTTTAGAAGTTTAAAGCGTCGTACTTTTCGCACGCACGCACGCACACACACAATGGCCCTTTTATCTATTTATCGAACTGGATATACTGAAATATGTATAATCAAATTTAATTTCAATTAACATTCAATTGTAATTAACATTAATAAATTTGGAATAATTATCATTATTAGATCTCATTTCTTTGATTGTCATTCAAATTACAGCTACTATTATTATTAAAATATTTTCTCTAAAATCTTTAGAGTGAAGTCTAATTCTAAAGAGTGACAAAAAGTGATAATTGAGCCAGAAGAAAAGTAGCTTAATTGCCAATTGGCCAATTTCTTAATTTGTTTTTTTATTTTTTGTCTTTAATGTTAATAATTTAATGTTAACTCGCGCTTTCAGGCGATAATCTTTCAAAATTAATGTAAACTTGGAGAGAAAAGGGCATTAGGAGTCAAGCGCAGATAACTTTATTACGAAGATATGGATCCAATTTACCGACTTCCCTTACCTACATTAATCTATCGATTAAAAGTTCTTACCCTGAAGACCTGTTGCGGATATGAGTACGAGTCGGCGCGATATCTCCCGTAGGCCTATCCTGGATATTTAAGATCCGAAGATCTGGATACCGCCGTAACTGCGGTGCTCTTTGCGTTTCAAATTCTATCTCCCTGCTAGAGATTTCTTTCTACTGCTCGTAAATTAAAACTTATTAATATTTTTGCTAAGAAAAAGTTATTTTGAATTAACTGAGTCATTAAAAACAGGAAATTAGATGCATACACAAACATGCATTATATGTTATTATATATGTTATTACATATACATATGTTGTATTAAAAAAAAAACATTAATATATTCTTGTATCTTAAAACATACTAATTTATACGATTTAATATTCTTTTATTCAAATATATTTAATTAAGTTTTTCTAATGTATATATTTTGCATCCTGCTTTTACATCATGCAATTTTTTTTTCAAGTAAAACATATAAATACGAAATGTATGTTGTACTAGCATCAGTCTCTCAAGTATCAAAGCTGTGGAAATAATGGCTCGATTAAGTTATATCGCATTGAATGTTGCTGTGAATGTACTTATCCTGATGTACGTTCTTGCAGAAGAAGAGCGCTATTCCGATCAATTCGATAACATTGATTATCGAGCTGCTCTTAATAATGATACTGTGCGAGAATCATATTACAATTGTTTTATGGAAATAGCACCGTGCCAGTCACCAAGACATAAGGCCTTAACAGGTAGTATATCCATATACTTAATTCTTTTTTCTTTGGTAAAGTGAGGGAATTCTTTGATCTATACAAAATTGATTTTTTCGTAATAGTAACATTAAAATTTTCATTATTTTTACATTATTTATAATATAAAATAAGCAATTCTTACGATGAACTAAACATATACTAAGGGAATAAACAAATGGCAAAATAAGATTCTCTTTCAGTTTACTTTTAATCTTTATATTTACTTTCAAGCTTTACATTTCAATAAAATTTTAATTTATTGCACAATTATAAATGCACTTCTGAACAAAATTAAAGGATCGCTTGTTTCACCCTAAAAAGATAGGCAAATTTCGAGATAGAATAAAAATCATCGTATCGAGATTTTTAAAAAAGCATTTTAATGCTTGAAATTTGTACTTTCAGACCTGTACTTTAAAAAATTGTATTACTAATATTTCATAAAGTTACACAAACATAAATGAAGATACACCAGATCTCAAAATTTTTTATGAAATTTGCGAAGTTTCACGGAGCCAAGTAAAAATTGTACGTAAATGCGGTTTACAGCTTTCGAAAGACAGAATCTTTACCTTTAATTTGCTTTTTTATCGATCTCTGTACGTTTTTTTTCACCTAGTTATTCAACGTTGAAGTAAGAATGACCCTTTTTGCTTCTATCTTGAAGTTTGCCTATTTTTGCAGGGTGGAACAAGTAATCCTTTAATTTTGTTGAGAAGTGTATATGTATTCAATTTTTAGAAAATTAAAAAATTTTAGCAGAAGTTGATGGAACAACAACATATTTAATATTTAAATATTAAATCTTTGGTAAGATAAAAGTAATGTTAATTTGTTGTATGAAAATATTGCAGCAGAAATAGAAGGTTTGCGTGCGAACAATTTGTTCCAGATGTTTACATATTTATATTTATTACGTGATATTCTTCGTAATATATTGGAATACATTAAAGATTTCAACGAATTTTTATTGGCTTGCGCGCGCATAGCCCTGTTTCACTTTATTAGTTTCAAAAAATATCTTTTTGGTTACAGGGATATTTAGTGAAGCTTATCAAACTAAATGTAAGAAATGTACTGAAAAACAAAAAGAAATGTTTGCAGAAGTTGCTGAGTGGTACATGAAAAATTATCCCGAAAAATGGCAATTAATAGTTGCGAAGACTTTGGAAGATATGAAAAAGAAAGCTATTCGATAATTATCGGCAATACAGATGAATAATGGATCTTTCGATATGTATTGCAATCAAATCATTGTAAAATAAACAAACAATATTTGTGAAAAATGTAAGCTGATAAAGCTAAGGAAACTTTTTACATAAATTACAATGACTAATATGAAATTTGTATTATATTAATAAAATTATAATATAAAAAATTAATTATATTTAATTGTGCAAAAAATTATAGTTTAGAATCAAAAAGTAATTTTTTTGTAAAAAAAAATATATAAATGTTTATATTGTATAATTATTTACAAAATTATATAAACATATAATTTATATAAGGAGAGATATATGTATAAATGCACCTCGAAAAATAAAACCTATTTTCATGAATGCAAATGTGTGAATTCGTTTTTCCAATTTTTACTTATGCGTAAAAGCGAGGGGGGGGGGTAATCACTAGAGGTAATTACTAGAGTAATCATTAAAATGTTGTTCCACTGATTACATAATTTCATTTGATTTCATACAATTTCAAGTTTTTCATCTAATTACAAACAATTTTATCAATTTGCACATGATTTCATCTGATTGTATAACGATTTCATCTGATTGCACATGAAGATTTCGTAAGGATTTCAGAATGATTTTGGAAACACTGTCTCACATTAAGTATTTACCTCCTTGCTGAAAAGTGCACGTAAGCTATCGATTTGTAAGCAAGTGAGATGGAAGTTAACGGTCAATTTGTAGGCAAACGGAGTCCTTTTTCCCGCCTTCTACACCACTGTTTGCCGTCTTCAATCCAACATTTGTCAGAAAATATATAATTACTTTTCCTAAGCTCGATTTATTAAAAGAAAAATATATATATTATGAATTTAAAAGCTCACAAAGTAATTGTTTTAGTTATAGTTTATTTATTTACAATAATATTACGGATAGAGAAAAATATGAAATAAGAAAATTTTGTTATTTTTTTTAACTAATCGATAAATATTATTCTGGATACTTATTGCTTTGAAAGAAGACAAGAAGAAAAAGTCGTTGCATAATTTTATTTCTTATGCTCATTTAAAGCTTATTAATACAGTAATTATGCACTGCAGTATGTGCGCACTTAGTTTTTGTTGATCTTATCTATTAGCATTGACGTATAGCTTATTACGCGTCCATCATTTTAATTGATCTTAGTAATGTTAAATCATTACGTATTCTATAACATGGGGGGAATGAAGTAGAGAAGGCGATAAAAAGGTATATTTAATTACGTATTATTACCATCATGTATATATACTAATGATATTTTAAAACGAAAGAAAGGAAAAAAGCGCAATACGCATCATGTTAATTGCATATTTTATTAATAATTTTATATTATTTTTTTATTAATATAAAATTATTAACAGCCAAAATTGTGAATTGTGAATAGTTATAAAAAAATACAATCTTATAATAAAAAATAACCAAATAAATAGACTAAGCGTACAGTCTACGCGATACTATAAATGCTTTAATTTAAAGCGTTTTTTGATTGGTCAATTTGTGAAATTCTTTCTTTTGATTGGTTAATTAGATGTTTCAAAAGATAGCGAGACTTTAACCACAGCTTAAATGAATTAAATATCGAATAGACTAGATATTTATTTTTACTTTTTTTTAATTATATAATAGTATTTTTTTTAATTTAAAGAAGATGTATGTTATAGGTATCAATGTAAGTGCTCAATCAAAAGGAAAGTCCATAATGTATTTAAAGAATGTCTTTAAAGATTATGTTTTTAATACTGATTTGCATTTTATATTTTGTACTATGATGCACCAATTTTCAAAATTTGAAAAAATAAATTAACAATATTAATGTGTGTGAATGTTCCACCAAACCGCGAGTGTATTCGAAAGTTGTTAGTCACATTTGAAAGTTATTTTAATTTTTTTTGTTAAGATAAAATTTTAAATACTTACAGATACGTTTTAATTAGATTTCGCTCGTTTTTTGCAATGCAAAGTATAAAGAAAAACGGTGCTGGTATGACAATTTATTTGAAAGAGAAATGATTCTCCTGTTTTTGTGTGAATGTGAAAATTGAGTCTAAATTGAGAAATTCATTGTGATGATACGTTTTAATTAAATTTTTGTAATTATGAGATAACTTGTATTTTAAAAATTGATACTTGGCTTAAGGGGAAACACCAGGGTGACGAATTTAAAAAATCGATTTTTTTAAATTGCATTTTTGTAATGCTTGGAGTCTTAAAAATATGTCCCTATAATATTATGTTGAAATTCCTAACGGAACAATAGTAAATATGTGATAGAGTAGAACGTGGTCAGATGCCGCTAGGACATTCAGCAGTCGTCCCCTTGATCTGCTTGTAGGCAGTTTTACCGGTATTCTTTTGTTTCCTGTGTGCCTCAGTCGTGAATACTTCATATGCACCCGGATTGGACGCACTTTGATTCGTTACGAAATTTTATCGTTATACATATATAAACTAATTGGTTGTAAAACTTTAAACGTGTTTTTCTCGAAACCACGTTTTCGTAACTGGGCGCTCACATATCTCGGCAAATTTTTATCAGAATGACTTGAATTTTGGACAGAATGTTTACAACGAAATTGTCTTCAGTTGCACGTACGAACTTTTCAATCGGATATTACTTTTTGAAAAACAATTAAACAGATAACGATTTTTTGTCGCAAAATCGTGACCTTTTTTTTAAAACAGCGCCATTTTGTCTAAATTATTTTATCAAAAATTCTGTACATGCAACTGAAATTACACTCATATACTTTAAAATAAAATAAAGTACCAATGTTTTTTCAGACGAGGTGCACATCAATGAGTACTGAAGCTACAAATATTAATATTATTCAATGAATTTTTTTTAATAATTTCATAAATGTATGTACTTCGCATATATAAAAACAATAATTCATACAAGCTATCAGTTTTCAAAAAAAAAACTCACAAAAAGAGCCTTTCTTTCGGCCGTCACCCTGGTGTTCCCCCTTAAATTAATTTCTTATCGTGTTCTTTTTGTTTAAATAAGTTTCAAATTTTTTTGAGTCAGATACTTTTGTTTTTTTTAATCAAATATAGCTATAGCCTTTGTATAGTTTTTTTTTTCAAAGTCTATGATAAATATTTAAAAACCTATAGATGATGAAACCTTTTTTATCTTATATTTGTTTTTGGTAGTTAAAAATAAATAAGACATCACTAGTTACACGTACACAAGGATAGAAAAACAGAAACCTTGTACAGACAGTATATAATTAATATTTTTTCAACATTTTTTAATCAAACATACTCATCATGTTTACTTATATCACATATATTTTGCATATATCTTACGCCACATAATTCGTTTTTTATTAAGTAAGATTTATATAAATTGGAGTGTACGATTCTCTCTCTTTGATAAATATCATAACTGGTAGAACCAATGGCTCGGTTAAGATGTATTGCGTTGGTCATTGCTATGAACGTATTGATGTGCGTTCTTGCAGAAGAGCTCTATCCCAATCGATATGATTACGTCGATATTCAGTCTATTCTTCAAAACAAGGATATACGAGAAGAATATTATAATTGCTTTATGGAACTAGCACCGTGCACAACACCAGAACAAAAGGGCATAACAGGTAGCATATGTTTACAATTACTAAATTTTATTTCTATTTTCTATTGTGACGAATTCTTTGATTAGAACAAAATCGTGATTTCTTTAACGTAACATCGACATATTTGTGTAATTTTCAAATAATTTACAATATTAAATAACAGATCCTTCTAACGAATTAATCAGGAGAGAAAATGACAAAGTAAAATTATTTATTTGCTTTTAAAATTTTATTTTAATAAAATTTTAATTTGCTCAATTATATATGTTTATGTAATACAATATAATAGGCAAATTAAAACTACAACGCAGTTAGTGTATATAATACTCAATCTGCCGCAACTCGCCGGCTCGCGTAAAGTAGCCACGGCAGTGTCGCTGCGCCTGGCTTAGTGCCGAGATACTACCGTGTCTTTAGATAATATAATATAATATAACTTCTTATTCATATAAGTCTTCTTGAATTCCATATTTACATACGAACATTTCGGCCTAATTCAAGTTATCTTCAGCGAATTACCAAATTAAGTGAAATTGATGACGAATTCATGATGCTTCATGAACGTTATGCTCGTGTCACACACTATACTTTGGAAATTGAAGATTGCGAATTGAGGATTAAAATTCAGCTAGTTAGAAAGAAACGGATTAAAGTTAAAATTATTTTATATTGGTCGAATTCTAATTTCTAATTCGCAATCTCCAATGCGTAATGTGACACGGGCATTAGGCGATTGCACAATTTGAATTGTGAATATCCTATCTTGACAGTTGTGCAATCGTTAAGTTCTATACAAAAATATAGGAACAGTCATATTACTCATTTATCAAATCAATAATCAAACAAATTTAAATTTATATAACTTACCGGTTCATTCAAAAACACGCTTTTTTATATTTAAAATTATTATAATATCATTATAATAAAAGAGCAACGATCTATATTATTCCGTACATTATAAATTAGGCCAAAATCGATTTCTGAAATAAATAAATATTAAAAAAGTATCCTTAATTGGTTGCAGAGATGTTCAGTGAAGCTTTCCAGACTAAATGCAGGAGATGCACTAAAAAACAAATAGAAAATATGGACATGGTAACCAACTGGTTCGTAACGCATGAACCCGAGAGATGGGAATTAATAGTTGCGAAGACTGTAGAGAATATGAAGAAAAAAGCTGCTAAAAACACAGATGGATAATGCATACTTTATTCGAATTTTTCTAGTTTTAATTTAAATATAATATAATAGCATGTATAGTATGACTTACAATTGGATAATATAAATAATATGTGTGAAAGGTATCGTCTAATGGGATTAAAGAACTATTTTGTATAAATTATTTTAAACCGATGAAAATCGATGAGGAACAAGTCGTAACGGTCAAGCTGGATCTTGAATACTTCTATAATTGCGTGTAAATTTATATACTATAACGTAAATTTTTAATTGTGTGCCGAATGTTTTTTTCAGACTTAAAGTATTTTAACTAACATGCACACACACATATGTAGATATTATTTTAACAGAAATGTTATAAAGAAAATGAATATATATTAAGTTTTGAATTATATTATACCCAAATCTGTTTTTAAGTACGAGTATTAAAGAAAAGTATTGCTAACTAAAATTGCATCCAAGTAATATAACAATATATACGCATGTACTATATATATGAGTATTTGTTCGTGTGTGGTTTTATAAGTTTATAAAACACCTTGTATACACACACACATGATGGGCGGTTAGGTAATTATTTAAATAATTTTATAGTGAGATTTTATAAAGTGATTTAACAAATCACTCGCTCGAATAATATATTAAAACTCGCTTAATAATCGAATTAGTTATATATGCTGACTAAATAAATATTATCCAAGAACCCGTTGCTTAAAAAGAATGTAAAAAAATATATCAGCATAATTTCATGAATAATTTTTTAATGCTTATTTAAAATTTAATGATACGATAATTGCGTGTTTTGTATACGCATAAAGTTTTTGTAATTACATTAGCGTATAAATTATAGGTTATCGATTACGCATTATTTATTGTATCATTGCAACCATAATTTTACAATTAGCTTCTGTGCTTAGAATAAAATGAAAAATGAAATAAAACAGCATTAGAAAAAAAATATAATTAAGTGTATGATATAGAAATATATGTGTTTATGTCCATAGATACACACATATAACCTGTTACCATTTTTACGGTTTGTGTTACTCGACCACACTTTTCATGCCTAACTTCTTGAAATGCAATCATAAGATTATATGTATGTTTATAAGGAGGAAATGCGAGGGGATAATCACTTAATGTAATCGTGGGATGAAGTCCCTGAAATCACTATAAAATTTATATAAAATTTCGATATATAATTCGACAATTACAAGAAATAATTGTGTAATATTAGATAAAATCGTTTATCTTACCAAATGACCGCATATATAGTGAGGAAAAATTATTTGTCATCAAATAAAATTATATAAAATTAAATGAAATTATGAAATCTGTGGGACAATATTTCAGATAGTGGTTATCCCCTCGAGAAAAAAGGCATAAAAACGTATTGTTTAATCCTTAAGAAAAACCTAAAGTTGTCTGATTTTTCAATTGAATATTTTTTGTAATAATATTGCATATATTACTTTGATAGATTTAGAAATTCGTTTTCAGAACTAAATAACGTACTAATACTATTAATTGATTGATACTATGAATACAGTAATAAATATCTACAGTAATAAATATCATATATAGTAATAAATATCATAGATAGGAGGTCGAGTAGCTCGCCGCCCGATGCGATTGACTTGCGATCTAAAATCCGAGTTCAATCTCACCTACCTATATTAACGCAATGGAGCCGAAAATGGCTCTACTTGGTGATTAACAAATTTATCATCAGCGCCGTTTAATTCCGGTATTAAATAAGTTCTCGGCGAGATTAATAGCCAACTGAAAGAGTTCAAGTCAAATGTTCAAAATACTAAGATAAAGCCTTCTAATCTCAAGAAGTTTCCTTGGAAGGAACAGACTTAGGGCTTATTTCATGAGGAAGAAGAAGAAATAGATAGAATGCGTATAAAGAAAAACATTCCAACATACCTTTTTACACTGCTTTTATCTGTCGCTCATAATTAAAAAAAACTTGAAATTTTCGCTAAGAAAAAATTATTTTAAATTAACTCAATTATTAGGAAGAGAAGTTATAGACATCTCATATTTTAAGAATACATACATAGCTCGGCGGAAGGTGGGGGAGAGTCCCTGCATATAACTCCCCCCCCAATAGAATGGTCGGGCGAGGGGTCGGTGTCCCTCCTCGCCTGTCATGAATGGAGTCCCTTCAGGGGACTCGGGAGAAGGTTCGGCCGTGAATGAGCCTGGAGATGCCCCGGAAGAATGCTGCACGTATACCCGGGGTGTCTCTAAGGGGACGTGAGGAAAGACACTGGCAGGGGTTTTAATGGGTATTGCCGTCCTGGTTAGAACGGGTGAGTCTTACATAACCCGGTTGGGTTCCCGTAACTGACAGGGTATGCGTAAACATATTTCCCCTGCCTCGAAAAAAAAAAAGAATACATACATAAGTCATATGCATACGTTGTACAAAAAAAATTTAATGTATTCCTTGTATTTCTCTTAAAATATACTAATTTATTCTCTTTATTCCCTTTTTAAACACTTTATTCAAACATTTCAACAACTGCTAAAGTTTCTTCATATTGAAGTTTTACATACATGCTTAAGTTATGCAATTTTCTATATCAAGTACGTATAAAAACGGAATGTACGTTGTTCTAGTAGTTTAGTCTCTCCAGTCTCATAGTTGTAGAGACAATGGCTCGATTAAGTCATATTGCGTTGGTCATTACTGTGAATGTACTCGTGCTGATGTGTATTCTTGCTGAAGAAGAGCGCTATACTGATAAGTACGATGATGTCGACTATCATGCTGCTCTCAAAAATAAGACTTTGCGAGACGAATATTACAATTGCTTTATGGAAATAGCGCCATGTCAGTCACCAAGACAGACAGCGTTAACAGGTATCTATATAATTATTTCTTTTTGATAACAAATTCTTTTATCTATACACACAAAATCCATTTTTTCATAACGGTAACATAGAAGTTTTTATTGTTATTAAATCATTTACAATTGTTTAATTAGGTATTACATGTAATACACAACACAAAATAATACAACAATATTGTAGTAATATTACGTTGAAAGATTAGAATATTTTGTACTGTAGGGATAATTCTTAAAAATTATAAAGAGTTCTGCAAAAGTTAATAATAACATATTTAAACATTTTTTTGAATATTTCATAAAATAAACCCGATTTTTATTGTATAAAAATAATGTAGCAAAAATAGAAAGGTTTACGAGCAAAGAATTCATTTAATTAAATGTTTTCATCGTTTTATGTTAAGTAATCTTTAAGAGATTATTGATTTGTCAGAATATAAGACAAAATTAATTTTTCATCTATTTTTTTTGTAAAACTATATTCTTAAATTAAATATCAATTTTTTGAATGTCTTTTTTTAAACAATATGCAGACTATATTGCAAAACTTTTCCCACTGCTCACATAAAAGTGCTAAACGGTATGAGACTTGTGTTCGTCTCGATCTACCTTCTGTGAGCGGTGAGAAAAGTTTCGCGGCACACCTGTATATCTTGAATAATAAGAATACTCTAAAAAATTAATTTTTTAAGATTTCTGTTGCTTTAATTCTTTATCGAATTTAGATTCTATAAAATTTTTAATCTAGAGTGAAATTGATTACTAGTAGAAACAAATTTAAAAAAAAATCGTTGTTTTCAGGGATGTTCAGCGAAGCATATCAAACCAAATGTAAGAAATGTACTGAAAAACAAAAAGAAATGTTTTCAACAATTATTGATTGGTACAAGAAGAATGAGCCCGATAAATGGCAACTAGTAGTTGCGAAGACTGTAGAAGATATGAAAAAGAAAGCTACTCAATAATTGCCGGCAAAATAGATGGACAATGAATCTTCCGTGTGCTGTATTCAAATATAATTAACGTAAATGTGAATGTAATTGATATGAACAAATGATATGATAACTTATAATAAAGTTGTAACGTATTTACTCAAAATAATATCTGTAAAAATCTAGTGGGATTAAGGAACATTTTGTATAAATTATGTATATTAATATGCAATTTGTATTATCATAACAAAATTATACTATAAAACAATAAATTATATTTCATTACAAAAGATTATAATTCAGAATCGATGATTTCTTTATATTTTCTGATAAAAGAAAATAAATATAAGAACCATTATTCTATAATTATTTACAAAATCATAGACATTTAAAGGAAGACATATTTACGTACGATACAAAAAGATGAAAAAGATGCCTATTCTTATGGATTGCTTTTTACAAAAATTATTAACTTTACTCAAGGTTTGACTTAAATTTTAAATGAAGATTTTGATCAACATCGTACACATAAGATAAAGTTGCAACTAAAATCTCAACGGCTTCAAAATCATATCATCTCGCTTAAAAATTCAATTATTGTACCTACATACTTTCTTATAGATTATTTAAAAACTTTATTATTATTTAAAAATATGATATTCTCTCTGTCTGCTCAACGCTGTCGCATTACACTCATGGCATCTTATGTAATTAAAAAATTTTTTGCATATATTATTATATGTACTATATTTTAAATGTGAAATATTATTATATATCAGTATAATGAGATTTATATAACGGATTTTCTCGTTAACAAAATTGCACTATATTGGTGCAATAAAAAATCGTCATTTAAGACATTATATTACAATTACCTAAATAATTGTAATGTGAAAAAAAAATTTTTTATTTTATATTAATCAATATATAATAAATATTATGGACGTTCCTTAAAAAAAAAATATATATTGATAAATAAATATATAAACGTATTTTAAAATAATAAATTATTTTAAAGTAATAAATATATCAACGTAATTTTATGAAAAATTATTATTTTTAATATTTATTATAATAGTTTATTTTACGTTTATTGATGCAGTAATTGCGTATAAGGTTTTCATAATATAATATTATTCATAGTGATATTATGGTAAATATAGATTTCAAGTTCTTTATCTTAACTGATCTTATTAGTATCTTTGTTCTATTAGAAAGAGAACGCAATGTTAAAGCATATCAGTTTCTCTGTAATTGACTTTAGGTAGGGGGCACAATGTAGAAGGTGACAAGGAGGTCGATTTAACTTATGTGTATGTTCCCATTATTATTTTGAAAAGAGAGAGAGAGAGAGAGAGACAGAGGGAGTGTTACTTTCGAAAATGACAGTAACACCTAATTGAAATGCGCAATCTGTACCTATTACCTATGATTATTAGATATTTTTTGTGCACAACACTTATAAATATTTACACACACTATAAATAAATATAATTTAAAATATCAAGCAATCTTGATTTCTAAGACCATATGTATATAAACTACGACTTAAATTTAGACTTATTAGAAATACTAGATACGTGCCTAATACAAAAAACTATTCGATAGAAAACATTATTTGAAATTTAATTCTCAAATTTCAACATTAACATCCAGCGATTATTATTGTTTTACATTGCGCATGATTTATATAATTAATTTGTATGGACTGATGATGGTCAAAAGTTGAACAAAACGTTTAATTCTCTCTCTCTTTTTTTAATTATATGATTTTTAATTGACATCTTGCGTTGTGACTGTATGCTCATTTCTATTTATGTTTAATAAGATTAAGATAAAGTAGTTATTTATTATTATATACATATATCTGGGACTAAAATCTTCGGAACCCCTTAGTACTGGGGATTAAAACTTCGAAAAGGCCCTGACGCGGTGCATGCTGTAAACCGCCCATTTGCACGGCCCTGATGTAAACATACAAAATACATTTTTTGTAATTCCTTATTTCTTGTGATAATAGTAAAATTTATATATATCTATATATATATTATAATATAATTATTATAATTATTAATTACTATAATACAATAATATGTGACTTACCTTTTTTCAAGCATTTACGTCTAATTCTGTGTATAGTGTGCCTTTATTGTCAGGATCAGAAAAAAACATCGTTTCTATTTTGTCTTCAAGTGTCGCTTCTTTAATATTTGCGTCATCCATCCAATATTTAGTACAATAATGATAAAAATGCCGAATAAAGGAGACAGTTCCGATGACTTTGAACTTGACATATGTTGTCAAGGTCATGACTCCGAGTAAGAATTTCTTATTCTTTGTTCTCTGTTTCCTGTTCCTTTTATTCTGCATAGTCCCTTACTGCATTCACGCGAAGTGACTATCACCCTATCTCTCCCCCTGCGAAGGGACACGCAACTTCCACTTCTCTTTATGTAAAGTGTATACGTGGATACATTCTGCTTCTCCCTGCGGGGGGGCTCCTTTACTGAGAGAAAATAATCTAATCCAATCCATTTTTTGGTGTGAAAGCTCTCAGTTTGCGTGAAAAGTCGAAACCAATGTGCAACAATATAATCAACAACAGGGATCGGCAAAAATTAAATATTAAATTACATGATTACAAATTACATGATTAATCAAGTAATCTGAATAAAAATTTTTTAATTACCCGATTAATCAAGTAATCGAAATATAAAATTTTTATTATTTGATTAATCAAGTAATCGGAATAAAAATTTTTTAATTACCCGATTAATCAAGTAATCGGAGTAGAAAATTTTTATTATTTGATTAATCAAGTAATCGGAATAAAAATTTTTTAATTACCTGATTAATCAAGTAATCGAAATAGAAAATTTTTATTATTTGATTAATCAAGTAATTGGAATAAAAATTTGTTAATTACCTGATTAATCAAGTAATCGGAATAGAAAATTTTTATTATTTGATTAATCAAGTAATCGGAATAGAAAATTTTTATTATTCGATTAATCAAGCAATCAAAATAAAATGTTTCAATTACTTGATTAATTGATTAATAAAAATAAATATATCTCGTATTATCATACTTAAAATCGGAAGTAATATAAAATTATTTTGTCATGATATTGTTTCATTAATAAATAGTTAATATAAAATATTAATCCGTATTCAATAAAACAATCATAAATAAAAATTAAGGGTATAATTAAAGTAATTAAAGTAATTAAAAATTAAAGTATGTATATTACAATTAATGTGCAGTAAGATTATTATTATATTATAGGAAAATGAGAAAGTGTAGGAATGAAATGAAATTAATAAATAACAATGGAAGTGTAAGATACAAGTTAATATTATTTGCTTTACACAGAACTCGTTTTTGGAAACTTTCATCTGTAAGACGATTAAATTTCGCTATATCGAACATAGTAGCGAAACTAAACATCCTTTCTACAGGAGCAGACGACGGAATGAAGGTATTGAATTTAATAAATGCTACTTTTATTATTGGATAAGTATGTAAAATTGACAAATCGTTTCCATTGTTATTTATTAATTTTGTTTCATTCCTACACTTCCTCATTTTCCTATAATATAATAATGATCTTACTGCACATTAATTGTTATATACTTTAATTTTTAATTACTTTAATTACTTTAATTACACCCTTAATTTTTATTTTTGATTGTTTTATTGAATACGGATTAATATTTTATATTAACTATTTATTAATGAAGCAATATCATGACAAAATAATTTTATATTACTTCCGATTTTAAGTATGATAATACGAGATATATTTATTTTTATTAATCAATTAATCAAGTAATTGAAACATTTTATTTTGATTGCTTGATTAATCGAATAATAAAAATTTTCTATTCCAATTACTTGATTAATCATGTAATTAAAAAATTTTTATTCCGATTACTTGATTAATCGAATAATAAAAATTTTCTATTCTGATTACTTGATTAATCAGGTAATTAAAAAATTTGTATTCCGATTACTTGATTAATCAAATAATAAAATTTTTCTACTCCGATTACTTGATTAATCAGGTAATTAAAAAATTTTTATTCCGATTACTTGATTAATCAAATAATAAAAATTTTATATTTCGATTACTTGATTAATCGGATAATTAAAAAATTTTTATTCAGATTACTTGATTAATTATGTAATTTGTAATCATGTAATTTAATATTTAATTTTTGCCGATCCCTGATCAACAATGAGAGTCAATGAGAGTTGCTTCGCGTGGAAAGTTTATAACGTTTCTAAACAGGGTCGGTGTCCCTCCTCGCCCGTCGTGGATGGAGTCCCTTCAGAAGACTCGGGAGAAAGTTCGGCCGTGAAGATCGATGAGCCTGGAGGTGCCCCGGAAGAATGCTGTACCAGGGTGTCTCCAAGCGGGCCTGAGGAAGGACACTGGCAGAGGTTTTAGTTGGTATTCTCGTTCTAATTAGGACGGGTTATCTCATATAACCCGGTCAGGTTATGATTACCAACCCAAGGCCGCAGAAAAAGAGTACATTGATTGCCAAAAAGAGTACATTTTCCAAAAAAAAAAAAAAAAGGAATGTAGAAGAAGGTTTTCCCTTTTGATTACCGGATTCAATAAAATGATATGTGTGCAATGTAACATCCAAATATATGTTGATATAATAAAAGTAATATTTGTTTGCGTTTTAGTGACTATATTCGTACATATAACATTATTAAAATTGGAAAATTAAAATTAATTCGAATTAAAAAAAAACTCAATCTTTTATGTATCAAACGTATATATATGTACAGTCTTTAGGTGTCACGAACCAATTAGAGGGCCGCATTCGCATCTTAAGACATTACTTAAGACAGTCTTCAAATAAGAACTGACTATATGAATACCTAACACAACCTAGTACAAACAAAGCATAACTTCGTATAAATTTATAAATATTAAATAATAATTTTTTAAATTCTGTCTCATTTTTAAAAAAAGAGTACAATAAGTGAAAAGTAAGAGTACACTATTTTCCGACATCGAAAAGAGTACATGTACTCTTTAAAGAGTACGGTTGGTAACCCTAGTTATGACGTAACTGGCCGGGTATGTGTAAACACATTTCCCCTGTCTCAAAAAATAAATAATACATACATACGTCATATGCATATGTTGTATTAAAAAAATTTAATGTATTCCCCTCTTGTATTTCTCTTAAAAAATATATTAATTTATTCTCTTTATTCTATTTTTAAACTCCTTATTCAAATATTAAAACAAATGCTAAAATTTAAACAAATGCTAAAGTTTCCTCATATTGACGTTTTACATACATGTTTATTAAGCAAATTTTCTTTATCAAGTACGTATAAAAACGAAATGTACGTTGTTCTGGTAGTTTAGTCTCTCAAGTCTCATAGCTGTAGAAACAATGGCTCGACTAAGTCATATTGCATTGGTCATTACTGTGAATGTACTCCTGCTGATGTGTATTCTTGCTGAAGAAGAGCGCTATAATGATAAGTACGATAATTCCAACTATCTTGCTACTCTCAATAATAAGACTTTGCGAGAAGCATATTATAATTGCTTTATGAAAATAGCGCCATGTCAGACACATCAACAGACAGTTATAACAGGTATCTATATAATTATTTTTCTTTGATAACAGATTCTTTAATCTACATACAAAAAATCTATTTATTCATAATGATAACATATAGAAGTTTTTATTGTTATTAAATCATTTACAATGTCAAATAAGAAATTCTTATGGCAAACTAAGCAAGAAGTAACAAATAACAAAATAAGATTCCCTTTATTTGCTTCGAAACTTAATATTTTAGAAAATTTTAAATTAGGTATTACATATGTTGTATACATAAATCTTTCAACATAATATTACTACAATATCGCTGTAATATTTTGTGTTGTAGGAATATATATTTACAATTGCAATAATATTAAAAAAAATGTTTAATTATGTATTACATACATGTATACATGTAATACATAACACAAAATATTACAACAATATCAGGAGACGCGGTAGTGTCTCCGGCCATGTTCAAAAACTGAAAGACACTACAATTAAGTCTCTTATCCCGAGTCACCAAAGTCCATTTTGGGGAGGTGCATACCTATTAAAATATAAAAAATTTTGAATCGAACGTTATATGTCCTGAAAGACGGCATCCCCACGAGTAAATTGAGCTAAACAAATTTTTTATCGATCAAGCCGTTTTGGAGATGCAAGCGGCCGAAAAGTGGTGATTTTAATGAAAAATTAAGAAACGTCTCCTCCTTCTTCTTCTTCTTCTCTATCCGCATTCAAACTTTTTCAAACCGTCATTAAAACTTTTTAACATCCTCTCTCACCTTTCACTCGCACCTCCACCATCTTCGGCTGCTGACTGGTATGACGTATATTTAAAACTATCGCAGTACTATCACGATTTAAATTAATATATTACCACGAAAAGTGACGGATTATTAATTAAAGATGCCAATACAAAGTGAACCTTCCGTTGTCTCCCTCACTTCACCGCGCGCGGTTCAAATGCCGCACGACGATCGAGCGAAATTCGTCATATTTAGTCACCAGTCGGGAGAGTATTTAAAATAATTTTATTTAAAATATATATATATATATGTATTTAATATATGGTGAGGGTTACAGCGGAAAACGGAAGAGATTCGAAAATCGGCCGAAAGTTACATACACTTTATGTATGTTCACTTTGTACTGGCACCTTTTATTAATAATATATCAGTTAATTTTCATGGTATTGTAGTAATATTACGTTGAAGGATTAGAATATTTTATATTGTAGGGATAATCCTTAAAAATTATAAAGAGTTCAGTAAAAGTTAATAATAACATATTTAAACATTTTTTTGAATATTTCATAAAATAAACTCGATTTTTATTGTATAAAAATAATGTATCAAAAATAGAAACGTTTACGAGCAAAGAATTCATTTAATTAGATATTTTCATCGTTACATGTTAATTATTTTTTAAGAGATTATTGATTTGTCAGAATATAAGAAAAAATTAATTTTTCATCTATTTTTTTTGTAAACTTTATTTTTAAATTAAATATCAATTTTTTGAATGTCTTTTTTTAAACAATATGTAGAGTATATTGCAAGACTTTTTCCCACTGCTCACAGGAAGGTGCAAAACGACGGTATGAGACTTGTGTTCGTCTCGATCTACCTTCTGTGAGCGGTGAGAAAAGTTTCGCGGCACACCTGTATATCTTGAATAATAAGACTTTAAAAAAATAAAATTTTTAAGATTTCTTTTGCTTTAATTCTTTATCGAATTTAGATTCTATAAAATTTTTAATCTAGAGTGAAATTGATTACTAGTAGAAATAAATTTTTAAAAAATCATTGTTTTCAGGGATGTTCAGCGAAGCTTATCAAACTAATTGCAAGAAATGTACTGAAAAACAAAAAGAAAAGATTGCTGCAGTTCAAGATTGGTTCCAGAAGAATGAGCCCGATAAATGGCAATTAATAGTTGCGAAAACTGCAGAAGATATGAAAAAGAAAGCTACTCAGTAATTGCCGGCAAAATAGATGGATAATGAATCTCCCGTGTGCTATATTCAAATATAACTGACGTAAATGTGAATGTAATTAATTGATATGAACTTATAATATGATAATAAAGTTATAACCTTCAAAATAATACCTGTAAAAATGTAATCTAATGGGATTAAGGATACATTTTGTATAAATTATGTATATTAATATGCAATTTGTATTGTTATAACAAAATTATATATTGTAAAACAATAAATTATATTTCATTACAAAAGATTATAATTTAGAATTGATAATTTCTTTATTTCTCATTTTCTCATAAAAGAAAATAAATATAAGAACCATTATTTTATAATTATTTACAAAATCATAGATATTTAAAGGGAGACATATCTACGTACATACAAAAAAATGAAAAAGATGCCTAATTCTTATGGATTGCTTTTTACAAAAATTATTAACTTTACTCAAGGTTTGACTTAAATTTTAAATGAAGATTTTGATCAATATCGTACACATAAGATAAAGTTGCTAAAATCTTAACGGCTCCAAAATCATATCATCTCGCTTAAAAATTCATTATTGTACCTACATACTTTCTTATGGATTATTTAAAAACTTTATTATTATTTAAAAATATGATATTATCTCTGCCTGCGCAACGCTGTCGCATTACACTCATAGCATCTTATGTAATTAAAAAATTTTTGCATATATTATCATAATATTTTAAATGTGAAATATTATTATATCAGTATAGTGTGATTTAGACAACGGATTTTCTCATTAACAAAATTGCACTATATTAGTGCAATAAAAAATCGTCATTTAAGACATTATATTACAATTACCTAAATAATTATAATGTGAAATAAAAAAAATTTTTTTCAATTTTAAATTAATCAGTATATAATAAATATTATGGACGTTCCTTAAAAAAAAACATATATATCGATAAATAAATATATCAACGTATAATTTTATGAAAAGTTAAAGGGTCTACAAGTTTGCTCCCGCTGTTTTTACAGGTATAGTTTTATAAAACTATACCTATAAAAATGGCGGGAGCAAACTTGTAGACCCTTTATTATTTTTAATGTCTGTTATAATAGTTTATTTAACGTTGATTGATGCAGTAATTGCGTATAAAGTTTTCATAATATAATATTATTAATAGTGATATCATGGTAAATATAGATTTCAAGTTCTTTATCTTAACTGATCTTATTAGTATCTTTGTTCTGTTAGAAAGAGAACGCAATGTTAAAGCATATCAGTTTCTCTTTAATTGACTTTAGATAGGGAGCGCAATGTATTATAGAAGGTGACAAAGAGGTCGATTTAACTTATGTGTACGTTCCCATTATTATTTTGAAGAGAGAGAAAGAGAGAGAGAGAGAGAGAGAGAGAGAGAGAGAGAGAGAGAGAGAGAGAGAAATACACTTATAAATATTTACACACACATCATAAATAAATATAATTTAAAATAAAATTCGGTAAAATCTTTAATTTTATTCTAATATGTTTCTACTTTATTTACATATAAACAAATGTAACCAATTAAAAGATAATTCTTATATTAATTACAAACAATTACAAATACTTTTCTGCATTTTATTAAACAGAAAATTAAGAATAAATTATAAAAGCATACATTAGTATATGTATATAGCTTTTATTTAATAAAATTATATTGTGTTATATGTACATTATATAGCCTTGCATGTATAATATACATATAACATACATATATAATATACATATTATTACAAATAATATTCTTTTTTGATATCCAATTGTATTTATTCAGTCTGTTCTGTTTCTGTTTTCCTTTTTCTTCTTCATTTTTATATATGTTTTTGATGATTTATATGTTGTAGATCATGTACTTCTTTCAAATAGCATTTCAACAGAGAAAAGCATTTCTCACATTCTTGTGTAATATCTCTCACTGTATAAAAAATTAAAAAACATGATTACCACATGTTAAAATTAGTAATATATCTTTATCTTTTATGGCTATTGTACTTTAATACTAAATATCTAAAGTTAGTAGAATATTACATTATAAATGCACACGTTATATATGATAAACCAGAATCGTGCAAAGGACTTTTGAGGTCCTACCTTTTCATAAAGTTCGTATTAAAAAATCTTTGAAGAATTTAGAAAACATCAGAAAACAAAGTAATTAATACTATGGTGCTATGCGTTAATAATTCTGTTTATTTTTTTTCCATCGATGAAGTTTGGACATTGTGAATTAAATTGAAAATCTTGCGGACTTGATGCAGTCCACGAGTTACTAAATGATTGTTATGCAACCCTATTATAAAAAGTTAAATATACAAAAGCCACTTGATTAGACAAATTGTATCATTGATATATTATATAATTTTACATTAAATTTTATACATATAAATTTTATTGCATTTAAATTATTACCTTATGAAGTGTAAATGAAATATAAATGAAAATTATTTGAAAGTGAAAATTAAATTGTATAAAAATTAATTTAAATAGAAATAATAGATAATTTAAGTAAAGTCCAGGAGAAATGAGAGGGAATAGCAATAGCAATAAAAATAATACGATTTTAACATGTGAGAAATCGGATACGTATACGTACAATAAATATATGTTCTTAATGACACGGGTTAGTTTTTAATAGGCTGAAATCGTTATTCCTATCGTTATCGCTATTATCCCTCGCATTATATCTGGGACTACTAAAAACTTCTGGACCCCTTAGTACTGAGGATTAAAACTTCGAAGGCCCTAACGCGGTGCATGCTATAAACCCACCCTTAGCACGGCCCTGATGTAAACATACAAAATACATTTTTTGTAATTCCTTATTTCTTGTGATAATAGTATAATTTATATATGTATATATCTATATATATATATATATATATTATAATTATTATAATACAATAATATGTGGCTTACCTTCTTTCAAGCATTTACGTCTAATTCTGTGTAGTGTGCCTTTATTGTCAGGATCAGCAAAAAACATCATTTCTATTTTTTCTTCAAGTGTCGCTTCTTTAATATTTGCGTCAGCCATCTAATATTTAGTACAATAATGGTAAATAATAATAAATAATAAGAAATAATAAAACATGCATATTTATTTTATTTTTGAACAATTTTAGCATTACTATTATATATTTTAATGTAAAATATATTTATTATAAATTAAATACAGAGAGAGAGAGAGAGAGAGAGAGAGAGAGAGAGAGAACACAACAAAGTTTTATGAAAAACATATAATATATATTTTTATACTAATTTACAGTCAGAGAAATTGATCTTTTTAACATAATTTAAAATTTAATATTTATTACGATATGTTGCGTTGTTAAACATTATGTATATACGAGGGCAAGTTAATAAGTTCTTAGAAAATCTGTCAGAGAGCACTCGCAGTGTCATGTCACTACGAGTTTTTCTAAAAACTTATTAACATGCCCTCGTACAATACGTACATATTATATATTTCTAAATACTTACGAGGATATTTAACTTTTTCATGATACACGCAATCCAACAGCCAAGTCTCCTTGTTCTTTCTGCATTTTCGGGATTGGCATACACATTAGTCGACATTTCTTCCATCGTGTACCAGTCACCTAAGAAATCAAATTGACCGGAGTAATCTACTTTTTTGAGAAAAATGTTAACTCAAATATCACAAAAATGAAAATGATAACAATAACTCTAGAGAAAGTCAAAAATAAACAAAGACAGGGCTAATGAGAGTTTTTTTTCGCGGTAATCCGTGTGATAAAGGAATTTATTATAAATTTCAATAAAATCAATTCTTAATTGACCAATATAATTTAAATAAAAAACACGAAAAATCTACAATAATATGCATAATTATAACATACCTTCAGTCGCATTGTTTTCAGTCATGCATTCTCGAATACTACTCTCGTATGTATTTGTTATGGTATCTGTAACTTGTTTTCTTAATTCTGATGAATCAGACAACTGAAACTTATATGAACAGTTTGTTTTATTTATTTTAATCTTGATTATATTTGTTAATTATTATTTGTTAGTTATTTATTTTAAATATTTTTTTATATATATAGTTAAATTTCAAAGAAGCAATAATCCCTATAGTATATCTCAATTTCCTTGAGTTATATATATAACATTTTATAATAATATTTTGAACTTCCATATGTGTCAAAATCAATTTGTTTCATAACATTTACGTATGCACTCAAACAGTCAAAATATAATAATATATTAATATACTTATTACACAACTTTTTTTACACATTTGTTTTAATACATAAATACACATTGTACACACACACACGCGCATGCGTGTACACAATATATGTATATATCATATAGACACAGGTTTATTTTGGAAATTAAAATATATATATATAATTAAATACAAATGTATACACTTTTTTGTATTAAAAGCTTTTACCGCGACAAGGTATTAGTATGTCGAAAAAAAGAAATTGAATTAGAAATTGTTCCTTAAAGGGAGCAAATACTCCTTTCTCATTATTCGTATACATACTTAATGAATAATAAACTAAATGTAAGTAAAATTCAATTTCAGTTTCTTAATTTAAATTATTTAATTTCATTAAGTTTTAGTTAAGTTAATGATATATTTAACAAAAGTATAGGTAACCTATAAAAATTATTTAAAAGAATTTGTTAAAATAATTAATTAAGAAATTATTTACAGCAAGTATGAAAACACAGACGCAAAGCACGAGACTTTTCATTTTGTTCAAATAATATCTTCACTCCAACAAACGCAACTCAAAGTAACCGCAATTACATCGTATATTTATATTGTCGTACTCTAAAATTAAAAATACATAGGTTAAAAAAACAAGTAGATCATCGATCATGCAAATATTAAATATGTAATATGAATAAGATATTTTATCTTATGACAATTTTCCAATATATACACTGTGATATAAATTGACAAGGACATAAAAATAAAAGTAAAATAAAATTTTAAAAAAGTAACAAAATAATAAAAATAAAACTATTATTAAATTATTATATATATACATTATAATTAACTATTGTTAAAAAAATAATAATAAAAATTTGCGTTATGCCATTCTTGAGCGCGCCAACTTTGACGATATAATTTGTTAATTTTAAGCAATTATATTCAAAAATTATTATAATTTTAATACCTTGTTATTAAAATTTTCGTCTTAAAATGACCTCAGGAATTTATCTTTAAATGTTGTTCGGATCCTTTCCGGACACTCTATATAACTATTATATTTCTATAAGAGAATTTTCCATAACCAGATAACGTAAAATTTATTTCTATCAGCAATATTTCTACTTCTATCATCATAAACACAGAAGTTATAAGGTCAGGGATCATTTAAATCATGCAAATGAGTGTGTGTATCGTGTGTATGTATTGTGGCAATACATTATTAAACTTAGATTACGAGTATTTTGTAAAATATACATAACGCTAAAAATTGCATATGCGATTTTTGTTTAAATAATTAACTTTTCCAATTTTTGTATATTATTTTTAAGTATATATTAATTTTGTATTAACATTGGTTTAATAAATATATTTTTTCATTTCCTTATTAACATTCCATAAAACAATTTCGTTTATTAATTTCCTACGATTGCTCATTCCTCCTCGGACCCTGCGCGACACCGACGTCGCCTGGTGTCGGCGTAGCCACTATATTCGTGGTCCAGGGTCCAGCCAGTGCTGCCAGTCGGGCCGGGTTCCCCCTCCAGTACCTTTCACAAACCAGGCACTAGACAGTACACAGAAACGTCAAAGTCTTATAAGCGCGCTGATTCCAGTAAACATAAATCTTAAATTTTTCAAAATATAGATTGAAGATTCAATTTAAAAATAGTGCACTGCCGATTTATGGATGGTACTGGAACCCGGCCCGACTGGCAGCATTGAGTCCAGCTCCAGAATTCCTTTAGTACTACTCATTTTCTTTGGAGTAACGTTCATAGTAACGCAGCTACATTTTTGGGGTAATGATAACGATTTCACTATAGTTACTTTTATCGTTACTTTATTTTTAGCCATGTAAAAGTTTCAGTCATAACTATATAAGAGCTATAGAAAATAGAGATGCGATGTTAAAGGAATAAGTCTGATTGACTTTCTTAATTACGTAATCACGACACCTTTTTTCACATTGTATTCGCACGTTCCATTTCACGCATAATGTATCATTTTATCTTCCTTTAATATTCGGTGAACAAGGATAAAGTGATGTATCATACGCACTATGCGTGAAACGAAACGGACCTAAGACTAACATATAGCATGTAGATTGTAGTGATGAGATCAGCGAGATTACGTGAGATTCTATTCTAATGAAAATATCAGTTTATATAATATTATATATATGATATTTATTCTATTATTATATTAGTGTATGTAATTAATAATTATATATGTATATACACACACACACATTTTTTAGCTCTATTTCTCTATTAAAAAATAAAATTTTGATATCTTTTTTACATTTATCAAAAAAATCTGCACCTAATATTCTATTAGTGTCAAGAAAAAAGTAACGAAAAAGTAACGATTCGTTATATTTTGAATAACGATAACGAGTTATTTTTGCAAATTAATAATGAGTAACGGGAATAAGTTATTTTTTTTAGGAAAAAGAAAGATAACGATAACGACTTATTATTATTAAATTATTATATATATACATTATAATTAACTATTGTTAAAAAAATAATAATAAAAATTTGCGTTATGCCATTCTTGAGCGCGCCAACTTTGACGATATAATTTGTTAATTTTAAGCAATTATATTCAAAAATTATTATAATTTTAATACCTTGTTATTAAAATTTTCGTCTTAAAATGACCTCAGGAATTTATCTTTAAATGTTGTTCGGATCCTTTCCGGACACTCTATATAACTATTATATTTCTATAAGAGAATTTTCCATAACCAGATAACGTAAAATTTATTTCTATCAGCAATATTTCTACTTCTATCATCATAAACACAGAAGTTATAAGGTCAGGGATCATTTAAATCATGCAAATGAGTGTGTGTATCGTGTGTATGTATTGTGGCAATACATTATTAAACTTAGATTACGAGTATTTTGTAAAATATACATAACGCTAAAAATTGCATATGCGATTTTTGTTTAAATAATTAACTTTTCCAATTTTTGTATATTATTTTTAAGTATATATTAATTTTGTATTAACATTGGTTTAATAAATATATTTTTTCATTTCCTTATTAACATTCCATAAAACAATTTCGTTTATTAATTTCCTACGATTGCTCATTCCTCCTCGGACCCTGCGCGACACCGACGTCGCCTGGTGTCGGCGTAGCCACTATATTCGTGGTCCAGGGTCCAGCCAGTGCTGCCAGTCGGGCCGGGTTCCCCCTCCAGTACCTTTCACAAACCAGGCACTAGACAGTACACAGAAACGTCAAAGTCTTATAAGCGCGCTGATTCCAGTAAACATAAATCTTAAATTTTTCAAAATATAGATTGAAGATTCAATTTAAAAATAGTGCACTGCCGATTTATGGATGGTACTGGAACCCGGCCCGACTGGCAGCATTGAGTCCAGCTCCAGAATTCCTTTAGTACTACTCATTTTCTTTGGAGTAACGTTCATAGTAACGCAGCTACATTTTTGGGGTAATGATAACGATTTCACTATAGTTACTTTTATCGTTACTTTATTTTTAGCCATGTAAAAGTTTCAGTCATAACTATATAAGAGCTATAGAAAATAGAGATGCGATGTTAAAGGAATAAGTCTGATTGACTTTCTTAATTACGTAATCACGACACCTTTTTTCACATTGTATTCGCACGTTCCATTTCACGCATAATGTATCATTTTATCTTCCTTTAATATTCGGTGAACAAGGATAAAGTGATGTATCATACGCACTATGCGTGAAACGAAACGGACCTAAGACTAACATATAGCATGTAGATTGTAGTGATGAGATCAGCGAGATTACGTGAGATTCTATTCTAATGAAAATATCAGTTTATATAATATTATATATATGATATTTATTCTATTATTATATTAGTGTATGTAATTAATAATTATATATGTATATACACACACACACATTTTTTAGCTCTATTTCTCTATTAAAAAATAAAATTTTGATATCTTTTTTACATTTATCAAAAAAATCTGCACCTAATATTCTATTAGTGTCAAGAAAAAAGTAACGAAAAAGTAACGATTCGTTATATTTTGAATAACGATAACGAGTTATTTTTGCAAATTAATAATGAGTAACGGGAATAAGTTATTTTTTTTAAGAAAAAGAAAGATAACGATAACGACTTATTTTTATGAGATAATGTTGCCAACCCTGGCCTGAAGTTAAATGTTTCCACGTGCACTGGTTATTAGAAGAATATTACCAAGGTCTCAGTAGTCTTAGAAAAGGTTCATAGTACGCTCGCATAGAATGCTAAAGATCCGGGTCTATCCTAGACTTTAATTATTACCTAGCATTATTAAAATCTTTATAAGGTGATAGCATAAAGTAATAGTAAATTGCTAAGCAATTTAATTTGTGATATTACTACTGTAGTTCAATCAATTTACATTTCAAGGCCGAAAAATAAATTCGGCGTACGGCGTAAATGACTACATGCGTAGTATTTATATAGAATTATTTAAACATTTTAGTTGATTCAGTTTGACTTCCAATCGCTTGATGAGCTAAATTGTTCTCTCTGTGGAAATACTCAACGTTTTAGAACATAACACTCCATTATAGTTTTATTCTTGTTTTTTCTGCGTTAACTAAAGATGTTTTACTGCGTTAATTAATATTTATATGTACATCTGAGGATGGCTCGAATATGCAGCCGAAACGTTATGGTTTTGACTTTTGTTTGCGTGCGCATTTATAGTGTGAATTTTATTTTATTTTTATTTTATTTTAATTTATAATATATTAAATGCTTTATTAGATCACACATATAATATTGACTCTTAATTGCCTTTTTATTTCATTGACAATTTTTAAACATTTTAGTTGATTCAGCTTGACGGTTAAAGATTTTGTTTTTTTTCTTGTTGAAAAATTGTTTAAAGAATTAACTCCGCTCTGGTGAAAAAACATACAGAAATAATTTATATTAAACCTCGCAAATTAAATAATAAAGATAAAATTTATTCCTCGGGTACATATACGTTTTAATCCTAGAGCCAGATCTTTATTAAGTGTTAACAATTAGAATCAGAATTACAAAGAATCCACGATCACTTAGACATGATATTCTCATAAGAAGATAAAGACAGAGGTGTTAATTCATACACACACGCGCGCGCGCGCGCGCGCACTATTAGTTTAAAAAGATAATAAATATGACCTTCTTGAATACAATAGGTTATCATCTTTCCTGATTTTCAATGTGTTTAATTGTAAGTCAAAAACTATAGCAATTATCAGTCTGATAAAATCGTAAATGCATGGTAAGAGATAACATCTGCAATGTTAATGTAACGCATATATGATTTTCGATAAGATATCAGTCAAAATAAAGGTTTATATGCGTTATATTAGGATGGTGCAAGTCCATATCATATGAAGCATTAGATCAATCAGCAAAGAAAATTCAGATCCTGGATCGAAACATATATTCTTGAAGAGTATATTTCATCACTAATCTGACAGGTTTACTATAAATTATTTCCGTACGCTCCGTCATTAGTGAAGCTTCGCAAAAGCATTTTACTTATTTATACGTTGAAAAATATTTTTGAAAAAATATTTAATTTTAATTAAAAAAAAATAATATCGTGCATTTATTTTTCGCTCATTCTAAAATATACCTATATTTTCAAAACATACTATTCTTTCTTTTCCAAATCTGTCAAATTTAAAAATCATTTCAACCATAGGTCTGTTTTTTATTGCTGCATCTCTCCAAACGGGTGCAAACGGTGCAATAAATTGAAGTGAAGTAAGTATACGTTTGTTTCACTTCAACTTTATTGCACCACGTGCAACAGTTCAGAAAGTGTAACAATAAAGAACAGACTTTATTACATATACGGAGATTAATTCTGATCAATAAGTTTATCAATTTATGTTGTGTATATAAGCGTATGTATATTCTAAGAAAGATATAAATTTTTCATTACGCGTGCACGTAATGTGCCCTATGCGTTGAGTTATTTCTCTAACCCCACTCTTCTGCGCAAAAACGTTTCGGTATAGGCACATTACGACGAGCACTTTTAATGAACAATTCTATGTGTAGCGAGTGGAGGCATATTTATTTATAGGTCGGCACGGGCGCGAGCGCACGAGCGAAGCGGGATAAACAACTATCCCCCACTGTTACACAATGTACTTTTATTTAAAAATAAGTGAGATTAAAACCGAGTTGATTCGATAAAATGTTATGTAATGTTATACATAGATCAATTCTGTGTGTGCTCAATGAAGTGAATTTATCTTTTCTTTAATTATATTTGTTTTTTTCTCTCTCTCTCTCTCTCTCTCTCTCTCTCTCTCTCTCTCTCTCTCATCGATTAATTATTATGATTTTGACACTGTAGTCAAATTTAATTAACGTTTTAGTATAAAATGACAATATACTTAGGGCCTCTTTCACCAACGCCACTTAATTATTTGATAATAATTTATATCTTGTTTACACATAATACATAACATAAACTGATAAATTTATCGACACTCTTATCGTCATCCATCACAATCCATATTTGTTCATCGATTTGGTCTGGTTCAGTTGATTTCCAACCAGTTGCTGAATCCGTTTACTAGTCAAGATTTCTATCTGGTTACTGGATACTTACCAATTTGTGAGCAATCAATTTTTCTGACATATTTTTCTTCTTAGGCAGTGTATCCATTATGGACAACAGAATTATTGAAACATGCGTACAAGAGGGAAAGTTAATTGGCGTCATAGAAAAAGGTATTTATGATGATTACTATGTCGCCTTTCGAGGAATACCATATGCGAAACCACCGATTGGAGAACTTAGATTCAAAGTAAGTAAATAAAATTCAGGAAGATGTCAAACAATTTATAATTAGTAAATAAATTAATTTAAAGGCGTGACAAAAAAATATCAAGGTAGATATCGTCAAATTCATACGAAACTTAGAACATTCGTTCGTTAGTTTTAAATAGTTTTTAATTAAAGAATTGCTTAAACACAACTTTGGGTATGAAAAAAGTTGTTTCTTTTAACACAGAGAATCATATGGTACATATGCCATTTTTAGGATCCAGTACCATTAGAATCATGGTCTGGTAAAAGAGACGCGTCAAAACATGGAAACATCCCCGTTCAAATAAATCATATTACACGTGAAATTGAGGGCAATGAAGATTGCCTTTATTTAAACGTGTACACCACAAACATCAAACCTCTCAAGAAACGTGCGGTAATGGTGTGGATACATGGTGGTGGTTTTTATGAGGGTTCTGGTGATGCACTTATATACGGTCCCGATTATATCGTGCAGAAAGATGTAGTTTTGGTTACCTTGAATTACAGATTAGGCGTTCTAGGTTTGTTTAGTAATATATATTATTGTACACATATCTTAAATTTGTGTTTAACATTTCGATATAATAATTGTTTGAACATTTTCTGTTTTTTTTTCTTTCTTAACAAATTACTAAGATACAGTTTAAACAAGTTATTTAATACAAAAAGTTTAATTTACATCCGTCCATATAGTATCTCATTATCTGTTCCTATAGTATGTCAGTGCAAATATGTATATTTATTATTTATTTTTACACGTAAGATTAATTAAATTTTGCTGATTAGTTAAAAATAGATTATTACTTTAAACATAAAGTAACATAAGTTGACTTTAAAATAATATATTAATGATTTCAGGTTTTCTGAATCTCTACGATAAAGTGGCGACCGGTAATCAAGGTCTGAAGGATGTGATCATGGCGTTACAATGGGTGCAAAAAAATATATCAGAGTTCGGAGGAGATCCAAATAATGTCACTATTTTTGGCGAAAGCGCTGGTGGAGCTATCGTACATTATTTAACTTTATCTCCGTTAGCTAATGGTATAATAACATATATTTGGTCGATAAAGATTTATCTACACACTCGATAATTTAGAAGTCCAATCCTTGTTTCACTTAGAATTTATACACAAGTCAACTGCGATGTTTCATTTCAAATTCAAACACTAATACATTTGCAACACACGATTCTGTTGCACCTAAATTCAGTATCGTTATATTGTCGTACACTTGTTTTACTATGTACAATATCATACATAACGCAATATAACAATATAAGAATCATAGTTAAAAGTTACAAACTCAGGGTGTAAATCTCCAAAGATATAGAAATCGCATAGCAACATAGTTACGGTGAGAAATTAAACTCGGCTTAAACCAGTCGCCATGTCACACATCTATGGAGACTCAAAGAAGAATCTGAAAAGCAAGAAATTTCGTTAAGCACTACAGTACAAGTGGACTGTTTGCGAATAGATACGATCTTAACCCAGTTTTATGAACAAGATATCCATTATCTAATTTTATAACGGAAGAAATGCTTTATACAAATCATGGTGATTATTATAACACATTGATTTCGATCTCTAAATTTTTCATCCGTTTCATTTGATTGACTTAATACACACATACACATACACATGTATATAGGTATACTATATACGTATTATAGAAAGAAAAACAGAAGTTTTTAATAATGTAAGACCGATCACAAAATCATTATGTAATCAATGATTACGAAAACTCTGAAACGCTAGCTTATACATTACGAAGAAGACACAATAAGAATTTTATGGTAATAAATTTTACAAAATTAATTTGTTATTATTGTTTATTAGGTCTATTTCATAAAGCGATATCGCAAAGTGGTGTTGCAACATGTCCTTGGGCTTTTACTGAGAAAAAATCACATTTGATGAAAAGTTTTCAACTCGCCAAACAACTCGGAAAAACTACCACAGATCCAAAAGTCGCATATGAATTTCTGAAAACAGTTGATGCCGAAAAGCTAGTAGAAACTGAACGAAAGTCTCTCTTGACGGAAACTGTAAATATTTGTAATATGATTGCAATATTATATGAATTCGATCAATTATGCAGTATGTAAAAAATCCACAGATGGTACATATAAAATATTATTTTGATAATATCTTCTTTACAGGAGAAACTACAATATCGTTTAATATTTACACCCACTTTGGATTACGAATCATCGAATCCATTTTTCCCGGAAGATCTAAAGACGTTTATGTGTCGTAGTGTTAAAGTACCATTACTTTTGGGTTTTAATAGTTGCGAAGGAAGTTTCCTTGTATGCAGTAATTTGAATGGGCGTGAGTTTGTTTTTTGGTTCATTAAGCTATACATCTTTAATAGCTTCCAATTTTTTACAGAATAGCATATCTCATACGTGTAACATATCGCATTTTTTTATCGGATACATTCCATTATGTAAAAAGTTTAAATAATGTTTTTAAAAAAATTACATCTCTCATTGAGAATCTCATCATCACATATATCAAAAAAAGAAATAATCCAAAAAGGAAAAGTTGTTAAAAACATTTATTACTTATTATACAATCTATAACGGACAGAATTAAAATGTTTCTAAAATTATTTCAGGTATAAGCAAAGAACAACTTAAGAAAATTGATTCTGATTTCAAAAACTTCATATTACCCCAAACTTTATCTACATTACCAATCACAGTTGAGGAATTGCGCTCTTTATATTTTGGTGACAAAGCAATTTCAGAGGAAACTCTAATAAATTACGTTGACTTTCTTAGCGATGAGTTCTTCAATCATGATATAATGAAAGCAGTGGATATTCAGACAAAGTTGAATAATAATGATAAAAAAGCGACGTATCTCTATCAATTTTCATTCTTGAGTGACTTTTCTCCCTTGAGAAAAATATTTGATATTCAATTTCCAGGAGGTATTATTAATTAATTTAAAACTATCTAAAGATCTATTTTTATTTATAAGAAACATCCGCTCGTATCATAATTATAATAAAAATTGATTTTAAATGTTTCTAAATTTTTATGTGATTTTAAAACAACAATTTGTTTTACAGATAGTTTAATTTAAATAATAAATCGTCTTTTAAAATACTTCTATAAAGTTATGTAATTTACAGATTTAATTAAATGTTGAACAATAATTATTATAATCATCATAATAATTGATAGGTGTGACCGGTGTGACTCATGGTGAGGAACTGGCATATTTATTTTATCCTAATATATTAAAACATTTCGGCATGTCATCACCTGCAATTGATTCGGAAGACTACAAAATGATGAATTGCTTAACACAAATGTGGACAGATTTTGCTAAAACAGGGTACGAGAAATTTAATTTCTTTGAAATTATCTTTCTAAATATGATATTTTAATTTTGTTAATTTCTTATTTATATTATTAATTCTCAATATGATTTAGAAATCCAACACCTGTTACAAATATGTGGTTACCCGTGAGCGATTCACAAAATGGAAAATACAGAAATTACCTAAATATCGAGACAGTCCCGCAAATGAAAACCTTCTATAAAGGAGAAGAAAGATGGGATTGGGAAGAGAATAAAAGTAAATTATAGCGCTAAAACTTTATCTATAATATATTAATTTGGATTCTTCTATATCTTTTTTGTGTTTATAATGTCTATTCACTTGTTATTTTTTAAAGATGTTTTTTAACAATGGGCATATTATTATTATTATTCGCTTTAAGTTCTGGATTAGGTTTTAGTTAGCAGAAGTAGATTATATATTATACATATAGCCCTCGAACTATGACTTACTGGGAATACAAAGTTTTTTCTTCACTATATATAATCCAGTTGACAATTTTAATCACTTTCGGTCTATCTTACGTGTTTTGCGTAATGAAGTACTTGGTTAATTACATTTATTTCATGTCCGATTTTCGATTAAGAAGAATTCAATGCCTTTTCTATGCACTTGGCGTTTTATGCATTTTTTCTTTTTTTAAAAAGGTTTTTTTAGGATTTCACTGCTTTTTGTAAATTTAATTTATATCTCGTCACTCGAACGTGTGTGAGATTGAGCAAGTAATTAGTGCGTTAGGTGATATTTGTGATTAGCTGACCACAAGCGGTATCAAATAACACTGCTGAAGAATAAATTGTCTTCGCTACGTACATTGCGTTTTTCATGCGAAAATTGTTCGTTACCGCAAGACGTTTGCTGCGAACGTCGCGACTCGATTTCACCGTGAAATAATCGAAAAAAAACCAAGATCTGTGTTTAGATTTTTTTGCTAACAAATTTGTAATTGCGCCGATATCATAAAAGATAAGAAACAAACTCAAATATACAGGATCGGATTAAATATTTTGAAGCCCCGGACTATTTCATCGATAAGGTCCATGTAAGGGCACTGACTTTTCCGTAGAATGGAAAAGCAATATTAATTCATGTATTCAAGTTTTTTCAAAAATATTCGATAATTTATTACATTAACATTATGTTACACACAGTTCTAAAAAAATAATCTAATACAAAAAGAATTGTTAAATTGTGTGTGTGTTAATCGAAGACATTTAGAAACAGTTTCGCCTTATCTCTTTGTTCACCGAGCTGCGTATGTTAAAAAAACTCACTGTCCCACGAGTATGTGGTTTTAGGAGATTAAGTTTATAAAAACGGATTCCAGTGTGAACTAGGCATTACATACTATTTTCTCCACTACCAATAAAAGACTACACACAAAATTTAATCAATTTCACAATATACCAACGAATAACAACAATAACAATAATAATAATGATAAAGATAACGAGAATAAAAAAACGTAGATTTTTTACAATACTTAATACCCAACATATTTCAGAAAAAATAAAATATTTTTTTCAAAAACGATGAACACATTAACATAGCCTTATACAAAGGAATAAGTTGAACAAATTTATAAGTTCAAAAAGACAATCTACCTATACTCTATCGCAATCTAATATATAGTGTTATAGAATAGATTGCAAGGACTGTGATGCATCGCACGTAGGGTAAACAAAGAGAACATTAAAAACACGCATAATGAACATAAGAATCACATCAACTGGAATACAACACAACATTCTGTCATCAACTGCTCACAGACTGGAATTTAATCATGATTTTGAATGGGAAAATATTAAAGTATTGGATAAGAAAGAGTTTTTATTTAAAAGACTAACTTCTGAAATGATCCACATTAAGAAACAAAAGAATAGTTTAAATATTAAAAACGACACGGAATCTCTCAATCCAATGTATATTTTCAAAGACTTGATACTTCCCTCTCTCATCTCAACCTTTTATATGTATAATGTTTATTATTTTGTCATTTCATAACTAAAATTTACGATTCCTTTTGATTTTAACTTCATAGTTGACACGGTAATCATAATGATAAACGCAGACAAAATCACACAATATCTAAAACTAATTACATAGCAAATCTCTACAATGAATGTAACATCAGCTTCTCACACACTATAAATTTTTATATATAAGAACGAATTGTATTGAAAAGGATCGTATTTACAATCGAAACGTCTAATTTTTAATTAATAAAGAATTTTACAACACACATACATCCAGTGTCTGGCTTCCAACCCTTGTAGAAGAGTACTACTGAGCACTAGGAGTACTTTGAGGCACTACTGTACTACAGCACTACAGCACTATACTGCGCTGATGTAGTAGTACAGTAGTGCTGTAGTACAGTAGTGCCTCAAAATACTTCTAGTATTCAGCAGTACTTTTTCTTAAATATGCGATTTAATTTAAGAAAGCCTTCATTATACATTTTTTAATGATATTTTTAAGTTTTCATATTTTTCATAAGATTATTAATTTTCAAAAAATTTTAATAAATATATATACAAACTATGTTATGGACTCTTTTTGTTCAAAACAAATAAACATTAATAATTTTTTTCTAACAATTGTGTGCCAAATATAAAGTGTGAGAAATATAATCTAATTAACGTTTTCTGGTGCAATATTACTCGCATTTGATCTAATTTGGAATTAATTTCTATATTATTGAGGCATTAAATTAAATTAATATCCGCTCAAATAAATTTCCAAATTAAACTTAATATACCTCCCAGGTCAAGAACAAATTGAGCTATACTAGTTGTTAGAAATATCTATATATAAATTTATTATAATAATAACACCGGTATATACGGAAAGTTTCGACTTCACAGAGTCCTCAACAGCCGCAACCGAATTATTAGAGTTGCGTTTTAAGACCGATTGTAGTTCGGCGCGCAATTTGGGGGGGGGAAAAATTTCGAAAACCACATCTACTATAGAGTAAAGAAAGAAGGATACAAATTTTTGAGATCTTATCGACCACTCGGTGATTGTTTTATTTATATGTCTTCTTATGTATTTTTCTTCGTAGAAACAAACAATAATCATTATAATAACGCTAGACTTAAGGAAAATTGATACATTGAAATAAAGTGAATAAAATCCTTATTCTCATTGTTATGAAATCACTAGTTATGCCTCAATAAACTTAATATACCTCCCAGGTCAAGAACAAATTGAGCTATACTAATAATTAACACGTTAAATAGGGCGAATAAGAGTCAAATTACAATTTAAAATCTAAATCTGATAATTTATTCTAATTCTTCGCAATATATAATATTAGAATAAATTATCAGATTTAGATTTTAAATTGTAATTTGACTCTTATTCGCCCTATTTAACGTGTTAATTATTAGTATAGCTCAATTTGTTCTTGACCTGGGAGGTATATTAAGTTTATTGAGGCATAACTAGTGATTTCATAACAATGAGAATAAGGATTTTATTCACTTTATTTCAATGTATCAATTTTCCTTAAGTCTAGCGTTATTATAATGATTATTGTTTGTTTCTACGAAGAAAAATACATAAGAAGACATATAAATAAAACAATCACCGAGTGGTCGATAAGATCTCAAAAATTTGTATCCTTCTTTCTTTACTCTATAGTAGATGTGGTTTTCGAAATTTTTAAAATAATTTCTAATAAATCAAATAATATTTATGTACATCTGTATTAGCATCGACAAAAATAATATTGTCGAATGGCGATAAAAAGGTTAAACATGGAAGGAGATAACTGATAATAACTCTGATAAAAGTTTTTTATCTTTACTAAAGATAAAATTATAAAATTATTTATTATAAAATCATATAAAAGTGCAAGTCATTCATTATTATCATTAATATAAGGGGGGGGGGGGGGGGGGGGGGATGACTTTGAACGTTTTTAAAAGAATATAAAAAATCGTTGCGGCGTATTTTAGTTATATAAATAAGACTTATTTTACTGATGCAAATAATATTCCAATTACAAAATAACACTAATAATAACTTTTAATCATTTATCAAAAAAGAAAAAAACGATAGTATGATTAATTATCGCATTTCTATAGCTACTAACGTACTTACGCGATGCATCGAACCTATAGTGATAAAGTTCAGGATATAATGGTATATAAGCTGTTGATCCTGCTGGAGTATTCGGCCAACAGGGTCATCCATCGAAAGTGAGTCGACAATATAGTTCTGAAATAAAAGTTTGAATAGAAGGTATTACAGGATAGACCAATGCTTTCATAAAAATGCGTAACTTGTTTGCTAGCATTTAACAGTATGCCGAGATTAAATCTCGATATATATAAGAAATTGCGAAGCGATATAATTTCGCAAAGAAACTGTTATAAATAGCACCGCGTAAGTTGACTACGACAAATTGGATAAATTTTCTCATGCAATACGATGATCGTCGAAAAAACAACTCGTAACATAATACTCATCACTATGTATATACCGATATAAGCAGACAAAATAAGACGTTCAATTTCCATAAGTTTTAAAAATGCCACGTTTTTCCTTAAATTACAATATAAAAATGAAAATTTTAAGCTTTTGAACATCTTATTTCGACTTTAAAATTTTACCCAAACACTTGTCCCCGTTGACGTGGAACGTCCTATATATGTATATATGTCTAAAGTTTTCGTATATAGATGGACTTTGACAGATACATTACTTGGTTTGTGATGCTCGAGGCGTCAATTACCACCACCACTCATGTCGGTTATCATGTATCTTTCCTCCAGCAAGAGATTGGTTAGTATTCATAACCAACGAACTTGTGAAAGACCATCTCTTCAAGACCTCAAACAACAAGCGATGTGTCACGGAGCACCAAATGATCGTCTCTTTCGTCAATTGATACAAAATTGTCGTGTTATCACAGAGTGAGTATACTCTATAGGGCTACATTCAGAAACTTGACCCAAGTGCTAAAATATGTCACTTTATCCTGGTTTTACGTCTAATGAACGATAGAATGACGCACCAGAGCATTCGGGTAAAGTTCCAAACATAGCCTAATATATTATAATTTCTCTTTATTATGTATATAATTAAAAATGTCGCGTTATTATTCACAAATTCGAGCAACAAATGATAACTAAAATGATTATTAAAACGTTCATTTCTTAATTGCATAATAATGTATTTCACAAAATATGTCATTAGGCAATATATACTTAATCTCTCAGTTTTTGAACATGGCCGGAGACACTATCGCGTCTCCTGATACATGTCAAAATATATAAATAACAATGATATAGAGATAACAGAAACTATGATATCAATAATTTAATCAATTAATAAGACCCCTTATAATTCAAAAACAAATTGGAGATAATAGAGAGCAATAGGAGTCTGGCGCAGCTAGAAGACATCGCACAATTAAAAAACACCACTAATAACAAAAACTATTTATTCGAATAACGCTGTTTTACTCTGATAGGTATGTACAATAGTGAGATTAATTGTTAGGGTCGTTTTACTTTCAAATTATAAATTTCATTTTGGTAATTTTTGCTTCATAATTATAAAAGTCCTGTTAGAAAATAATTATCCTCTGAATTTTGTTTTTGAGATTATCAATAACCGTTTAAAGAGTATTATTATGGCCAATAATAGAAAGAAGGTCGATATAGCAGCTTAGAGGTAGATAAACAATTTTGGTTCACCGTGCCTTTCATTCGTGGTATTACTGATAAAGTTCAATAAATTGAATAACGATCATATGAGAATATCGTTTTATAGTATGAATAAATTATGGGAATTCATTAAGATACATAAGGATCCTTTTCCACGTATTAACAAATCGAATGTTGTTTATAAAATTTCATGTAAGAGTTGCGATGCGAGTTATGTGAGACAGACGTGTAGACAACTGAAGTCAAGGATTGCCGAGCCACATAAGAACCACATCAGATGGAACACATCTACCCGCAGCATTATAACGGATCGTCGATTGTTGGAGGGTCACGAATTTGATTGAAACGGTATTGAGACTGGATGAAGAGTCCCCCACTACAAGAAAAGATTTATTTCAGAGATGATATTCGTCATAAAACAAACTCATGGGCTCAACAGACAAACGGACATGGAGGGACTTCCAAAGGCCTACTTCTCGACGATAGATGAACTAAAAATAGCTTGATATTGTTTGATTTGATCGCGTTTGATCAGTCAGTGCTATACATACACAGTAAAAAGTCGTTTTGGCTTTCGTGGATTGTCTGCTTTCTTTCATTCTATACCTTTGACCAAAATTGAATTAATTGACTTTCTGTTTTGACATTGACTGATCAAACGCGTATTAAGCATATTAAGCATATTAAGAACCGGTTTTTAATTAATATTAGTATTGTTTGCGATACTTTGTAATCGTGGTAAGTTCCTTTATATTCTCGAGATGATTTATTATAATCTTAGTTCTTTGGAAATTAGTTTTCACAATTTATTATTTCTGATATTTTCAAATTTTTCTGTTTTTCTTCTTTTTCTTTTTCATCCATTTAGTTTTGTCTGTTATTTATTCTGTACCTCAATTATCATGACGTGAAGGAGTTCACCGTTAATTAAAAAATTCTATTGATTAGTTATGTAAATTAGTTTGTTTCTCTGAAGAGGGCTAAAAAGTTAGCCGAAACATGTAAGAGCGCTACTATCATAATAAAAGAGCGTTATTCGAATAAATGGTTTTGTCACTTATTAGTGATGTTTTTTAATTGCGCGACGTCTTCTGCGCTCGACTCCTATTGCCCCTTATTCTCTCCAATTTGTTTTCTTTTTTATCAATAATTTACGTAAAAATTTTAATTAACAAATTATTAATCTAATTATATAGTATGTAAAATATTACAACTTTATAATCTACGAAGCATCTCTTTTTCATCAATTCTCACAAAAACGTCAGGTCATCTTGTTTTTATTTCAGTTAACTAATGTTTTTCCCAGATGAAGAATGATCAGTAATCATAGTTGACGTAATTACAAGTGTTATAACGATAGCAATTTGAGTTACTGCGTACGTATATTGGAAACGTACGTATTACGTAAGACGACAAGCATTCGGATAACATATATTGACACAGAGCCTGTGATTGCAAGTTTAATATATTAAAATGAAGGTGTTGCTATCGGTCGTTTTTGTAATTTTGGCTTTTGACCAAATCGCTAGCAGTTACCGAATTCTTGGTATATTCCCATTAAATGGCAAGAGTCATTGGAACATGCAAGAAGCACTGATGAAAGAATTGGCGAGACGTGGTCACCAAGTAGATGTGGTCTCGCATTTCCCGATGAAGAAACCAATACTTAATTACAATGATATCAGCCTAAAGGGCAGTATGCCGCAAGTTACGAACAATATGACCGCGACACAATTACAAATCTTCGCATCAAGCACCCCATCTATGTCCGCTTTCGTTCAGATGACCGGAAACAGCATTTGCGCTCTGTTGAATCATCCAAAGATACAAGAACTGATCAAGAACCCACCACAAGATCCTCCTTATGATATTGTCATTCTAGAGGTATGTCTGATGTTTTCGACTTATTTTTTAAGAAAAATATCGGAAGATTATTTTTTACAATTTTGTAATTTTTTAAATATTTGTATACCTTTGTAATATATGTATATTAAATCGTAAGTTACGTTTTTCTCTACGTAAAATTCACGTACTATTAAATGTAGAATAAGATTTTAGTAATTATTCTGGAGCATCAAGTAATTTGCAAAAGAGCTTTAATCTCTAAACTCTCCCCCCCAATCTCTGCAAGTTGTTTTAGATAGAGCATATGCTCCCTATAAGCCTATAAACAGAAAAGTAACGCTTCCTGCAAATGCTCTTTTTTTGGTACGAAACCCGACATTTTTAATGCGATAAAAAATTGTGTTTTTTCCATCCGATTAAATGTTATATACTGATTATTAAAGTCTATTGATAGTACTTTTATATACATAAGCAATCACTTTCGGCGAACAGCGAGAATTAATTCAAGCATCTAAATATGCTAAACGACCACTGATCCAAGCGTAACCGCGCATCTTTGCCCAGTGAAACAAATGTGCAGTTTAACTATACACACTCAATGTCACGCAAGTGATTACAAAATGTAATTTATTAAGTGCAAATAATTAATCAATTAATTGACAATATACGCAGTTGTTTACAGCTCCGTGCTACATGGCTTTCGGCCGTTATCTCAAAGTCCCCATGGTTGGAACGGTAGCAAGTGTTTTTCACGATTGGCTTTCTGAGGTGTCCGCCAATCCGCTGAATCCTGCTTATATCCCGAACATGTTCTCGGCATACAGTCAACACATGAATTTCAAAGAACGTTTGTCAAATTTCCTGTTGACGCATTATCTTTCTTGGCAATTTCATTATTATACAAATAGCCAATTGAAATTAGTAAATGAGCACTTCGGCATGAACTTGCCACATATCAAAGACTTATACAATGATATATCTTTATATCTGGTCAATTCTCATCACTCATTAAATGGAATCAGACCGATGACCACTAACGTGATCGAAGTCGGAGGTATGCATCTGAGCAACGATGATGATCCAATGTCACCGGTATGTTTTAACATAAATTATTTTTTCCTTTATTATTCACAAAGCGTTCTTTCTGAATACAATGAAACCTAAACTAAATTAAAATCATTTTTTAATTCGTATAAATATATAGTTTTACTTGTTTCCCTTTCATTCCTTACGATCAAATAAAAAAATAACTACAGTTAAATAAAATGATTATTTTTTGTGCAAAAAATATATAATTTATTGTTTAAGTAAATAGAATGTGATGTGTGTTGATAAAAATAAAAAACATATTTTACGTACAAAAGTGAAATATATGAAAATAAGATATAAAGGCTACGAGAGAGAGAGAGAGAGAGCCAAAAATATATATATTTAAATCAATAACAAAATATATATAAAAAGAATATAACATCATTCAGGCCCGAGCGAGGTTGAAACGTCTGTATATATATTATATATTAATCTTTTGTTTTCGCAATAATTTGTTAATATTATAATGTCTCGATGTATTCTTTTTATATAGTGTTTTGTCATTGATTTACTTTTGGCTCGTAACTTTTATATTATATCTTATTTTTAATTTACTGAGCCATAATATTATTTACATTATTTATTATGAAATATATGAAATAGATTTTTATTAAGTGTAATACTTTTTAGATTGTTCAGATTCACCATTATTAAATTTTTATTAAATATACAAAAATATTCAATATTTTATTAATATTAATAATTATTATATATAATTATGTGTGTAACAAAGTACGATAAATATAGAAATATGAATATTTTTTCGTTGTATATTTAATAATTTTATTCGATACTTTTCTTTACTTAAGTATTTTTTTCAAATACATTTCATATTTTCGTGCAAGAAATAGTTTTGAAATATGCATGTTCCGAAATTTCTTTTAAAAACATTTAAAAACACGTTTCATGTATTCAGGAAGAATTATGTAACAAACTATTAATTTACTCTAAAGAAATATACACATATATACATAGGAATTGCAAAAATGGTTAGATGAAAGTAAGGATGGTTGCATTTACTTTTCATTCGGTTCTATGGTGAGGATTGAAACTTTTTCTAAGGAATTGTTGCAACAAATTTACGCGTCTTTCGAGAAAATCGCACCGGTTCGTGTACTGATGAAAGTCGCGATAAAAGACGATTTGTTACCAGGATTACCAAAGAATGTCATGACGCAATCGTGGTTCCCGCAGATCGCCGTTCTCAGTACGTAATTATTATCTGGTCATACATCAGAGCGTCTAATTAAATAATTTCGTTTCTTCATGTAACTATTTTTAGAATCCTTATTTCTATATAGATACATCAAAATTTTCAAGTTTTGCATACTACAGCAATATATTTGCACATAAATTGAGCATTCCCTAAAGCTATATTGCTCTCCATATTTTCTCGCGATAAAAGTTGTTCTAATTGTGTGTAGACAGTTAATAATATGTTAAACGGAAAATATTATGTGCAGTTGGAAAAAAACGTGATATTTTTGTGATATTCAGAAAAGAAGGTTTCAACTAGTTTTGAAAACTATTTAAGATAAAAAATATTAGTCAAATCAAATTTCTAAAACAAATAGAAATGATTAAAATAAATGCAAATTTTGAAATAAATTAAAATCAAATAATTGGTTTTCTAGGAAGATATTCTATCAATTTTTAAATTATTATCTATGGTTTCTTATATCTATGCTCTCAATCATAATATTTTTGCAATAAAGAAAAAACAGCATTACTACTATGAATTTCAGAACATAAAAACACACGAGCTTTTATTACGCATGGCGGGCTTCATTCGACGCAAGAAACAATCTATTGCGGGGTTCCTATGATTGGAATTCCCCTGTTTGGTGATCAACGCGTCAACATTCAAAATTATGTCAACAAGAAGGTGGCTATTTCGTTGAACTCAATAACCGATGTTACTGAGGAGAAATTAACTTCGGCAATAAAAAACATTCTGAAGGATTCCACTTATCGGTAAGTGAAAAATGTGAAATCTATATAAAAATCGTGTATTATTACAGTTAAAAACAATTAAAATTTCATGATTCAACATTGAATAAAAACATGACGTGATTAAAAATATTGCTCATTACAAACTTCCGAGCACTTTGCTATAATTGATTTCGTCTGTAAACATCAATCCCACTATATTGATCGTTATGTAAACGCTTCTCTTCGTTTCAGTGAAAATGTCCAAAAACTGTCGAAGCTATTCCTCGATCGACCGATGAGTGCCATGGATACATCTATATTTTGGGTGGAATATGTAGCGAAATACGGAAACGTGCTTCAATCGCCAGCAATTAAACTCAATTGTTGGCAACGGAATCTAATAGACATTTATGTATTTATATTCGTCGTAATTATTATAGTGCTTTATGTCGCACTATTTATCCTCCGAAAATTAAAAAAGCTCTTGTTTGGATCGCACGCTTGCGCAAAGAAGGACAACGCAACAATGAAGTTGAAGAAGAATAAGTGAACATGCTGTACAAAATAATATTTTCCTCTATTTTAATTAATTCAACACCTTAGAGATCATTATTTTTGATACGTACGAAACAATGTCAAAATGTTGTTAAAAACAACATCCATGTTTAATGCTGTACATACATAGTGTTTTAATAAAATATATGTTTAATTAATTACATTTGTAGATATATGTAATTGCATGTGCGGGCTTCAACACATGCACCGATATTCAAGCGTATAATGCCAACAATTTCATTGTTTTCTACCGTTTGTCAACGGGCTTGTAATAATAAACGGAACGTCTAATATTGGAAAAATTCGATTAAAACAAGCAAGCCTGATAAAATACGCGATATGTCGTATTGCCTTTATGCAATATATTTTATCGATTTTATCGATTTTCGAATCGCCTCCGCTGTCCCCCTCACCTCACCGCGATTTTTGAATTCATTATTCAAATAACGAACTCCATAAATGGTAATTAATAGTTGCAAAGTCTATAAAAGATAGCAGAAGAACGCTAATTAATAACTGACAATATTGATTGTATCCAATATATTGGTTTAAAATATTGTATATTATTTATAATGTAATAAATAATACTTGTCAGTTATATTATGTAATGAAGCTAGAAGGATATTTTGAATTATCTTTATAAATATGGAATTTTCATTTCTTAATAAAAATATATTATATCAAAATAAACAATCGTATTTTGTCATAAATATTAATGAATTCTAATTTTAAGAATAAAATAATTTTTTTAAAGAGATATCGTAAGTTTTTTTTTACATGATAAAAAAATCACAGATATTTAAACGGAATAAATAATCATCGATTAATCACACATATTTATTTTATTATAAAAATTGTAGTTACATCACAAGATGCAATAAACTATTCGTAGAATATTAAAATATCAAAATATCAAAAATAAACTGTAGCAATATATATAGATATATTTATAATTCTCTCTCTCTCTCTCTCTCTCTCTCTCTCTCAGAGTTATAAATAATTAGTTACTAATTAATATGTCAACGGTTCATTGAAATTCCTTGCATTTGACAACCACGAAACCATTCTGGATCTTGCTCCAAATTGAATGCTTTACGCTGATAAAATTGTGTTAACATAACAGATTTCAGTCTTACTTCGCTAAGTGGAATAGGAGGATAATCATCAAGACGCCAACCATATACCCAATTTTTACAATCGGGAAAATAGAAACGCTTTTCCGGAAGTTCTTTATATCTAAAAAAATTCCAAAAAACATTTTAAATTAGTTCATTAAACGTTCTCAGAGATTTATGCGTCGTATGTACCTTTTAGTTAGATAATTTTGAGTAGTAATAAAAGTTGGAATTTCTTTCTTATAAAGTACAGCTCTTACATCGGGATCAATCGGTTTCATGATATCTATATTAATAGAACCATTGGATTTAGGTGGTCTCCATGTGGGTAAGGGTTTCCGTTGTACCTACATATGTACAAAATTTAAAAGAGATAAACATTGTGAGTTAGCAAATTGAAATTACGCACGATGGGTTTATCTACACGTGCTGCTTCTCGTTTTTTAGACTCTGTAATTATTTCTTTAGCGCGTTTCGTAAATTTCGGCTCTCCTAACTGATCTATTAATCGTTGTTGATTTTTTAAAAACCATTTTATTCGTATTGCATTTTCCTTTCTTATCATTTCACTGTGAAATAATTGACAACGAGCGTCACACACATCACTAGTAATTTTTGCCATATTTCACTCTTTTAATTTAAGCAAAATAGATGCTTATTACAAATGATTTACATACCTATCAAAAAGTATTTAAAAGAAAATAACTCTGAAGTAAGATTTCAAAATGTAACTGTTCTCAAATGTTTTTTCCTTTATTCATACATTTGTAAGAAACCGAGAGATAAAATAACGAATGAACATGAAAGTACACCATAATACTTTGTAGAATGATTTATTTACATCATTATTATGTATAACGCGTTTCATTGTGTTACACAAACTCAATATTTACTTATTATATATCCTACATTATTCATATTTTTTTTTGTAATAGCAGTGGGAGCATATATCGACTATATACATCTTTTTTTTTTTCAAAAAATAAACGATTACCTATAAAGAAAAATCGTAGAAAATGTTAAGTCGATCATATACTAATACGTGGCCATAATAATTTGCATAAATAAATTTTTAAAAAGAAATTGATAAAGTATTATAGTATTCTGTAACACGCTAGAGAAATAAGTATTTATTGAAGATTTCAATAAACACATTCAAAATATATTTAACAAAGATTAACAAATTACAATAAAAAGTATAAACACTAAATTGAATGTCTTGGTAAATTTAATAAGACATACTATATGTATAATCTGACAATTACATGTTAAAACTATGCAAAATATATGTACGCGTGTAACAGGCGCATTCACGCATACCTGCACAAATGTTTCAAACAAAAGATTATAGTTGCAAACCTCCAAAGAAAATTTTTTTATAACTTAAATAAACATTTTGTAAAGTTATTTTCAAATTTAGATTTCGCTCTTCTTTTACATGTGTCTTTACATATGAATACTGTGCTCTCTTTTCTCCAACAACGATTCATTCAATAACGATGTAAGGTGTTAAAAAATTGTAACAATAAATAAATATGGCGTGAAATATGAGTTTTACATGATATTACTCCCTCTTAAAGTCAACATCAAATGACCCAGTAATCACAGCCATAGGAAGCAATATTGTGGTTATATATCATATATAGTTTAGATACAGTATGTATATTACAAAATGACTAAGGAGCATTTTATCATTTGTACTTGAGTAATCAAGACGAATCGTATTTGTACAAATAACAGTTTCATTTTTTTCTACACTGGTTTTCAGTTTATTTTATACTGTACATTTCTCTCTCTGTAATATATTTTATAGTTTTATCTACAATCTTCTATAAAATAATTACTTTACATCACTTGTAATTTCTTTAGTTTAGGATAGCCAATCATGTCCTATAAATTAATTTAATTCACTCCAATCCATATTGTACCTATAATTCAAACACGAAGTTACATCGCATTCTACATTAATTCAAAATTTCATTAGTCTTCGTAATCTTTTAACATTAAATTGATTGATTTAATATCCTGTTAGTAACAATTATGATTTTAATTTTGCAATTTTATGTTTGCGATATGATCCTGCATTAATTATGCGCACTTAATTATGCTCTAAAGTGTAGTTTATTATCGATGAAATTCCTGCATGCATCCCACTGTTTTCTTAACTTACTTAATGGTACAATGTTGGAGTGGGCTGCAATCTAATTGCGCTATGTGAGTAATCTATTTTCACTATTCAATTGGAGCATATCTTTCTTTCTTTCTTTCTTCTTAAAAACAATCATTTTATATATTGGAAAATGCTAAAAAAATTAGTTTAACATTCTCTACGTCATGTTTTCAGTAGTAATTTATATTTATTTTTAAACAATGAATCTATTTGTACAGTATAAATTGTATTGGTATCTAAAGAATAAGTATCAATTATTATTAAATCAATTAAGTGTGTTAATACATCTCGACCCCGAAAAATTATCCGTTTCGCGTAAAGGAGGCACGACAGTGTCGCGCGCTTGGCTTAGCGCCGAGACACTACCGTGTCTCCAGATATCTCAAACAAATTATTAATAAAATATTCCATTTATATAAGCTAGATATATACAAAGTTGTATACAAATATACAAATTACAGCTGAAGACAAATAATATAGACAAATTGTTCATATTCTGATATATATATCAAATTGACGTTTTACTAATTGTCCATTAATACTCCATATGAACAGTACAATAGATAGAATAGCATTTTATTTCAATTTTATACATTGGATGGCAGCCAACGGTGTACCAGGATTAATAATTATTTCACAATTTCAAATTTAGTGCTAATTAATGAAGTCATTTTGCAATTATTCTAAAACAATAATACATTACTTCCATACTGATTTCGCATACATGACAAAGTATGTTAAAAGCATAAGGTACGATAATATATAAAGTTTAAAGAAAGTTTAAATAACATTTTTAAGATCCTTATCGATGATTAAAAATCAAGGAATAAAAAAAGAAGATAATATTAGCGTCATTATTTGACGTAGTTCTAAGTTAACAATAAGAAATTTATATATTAATAAATCCAGGTCCCGTACCTTTGCTTCCTATTGTCTTTCTTTAGCATCGATTTTCGATTCATTGCGACATAGAATACGTACGTAAAAATGCTGCTCAAATAATAAACAAATCAACCAATATTCATTGTGTCAATATACTCTTATAGAGAAAAAAAGTACCGCCACTTCCATAAACAACTCTTGGATAATGAAATAGTTTCCTCTCTCTTTCTTTCTCTTAATGGACAATCAATAGTGTAGATTTTTTACATGCCTAACTCGTAGTCACTTTGAGTAACACAGGTGATGAAGCATGGTTGTTAAAGTACAGACCTGCACCCTGAAAGCTATTAGATCTTGATGCAAGCGTCGGATTCTGATTAATTCCGGTCATACCATTGTCGGCTTCGGAAACACTACAATCATCATCTTGCTTGCCCCGCAATACATACTTGAATGACTCGTATCTATCGCGTAAAAACAGAAACATGTTACGCGACATGATATAAAGAGAGACAATGATTATGATTTAATCAAAAGAACAGTAAAAAGAAATATAAAGTCGACTGACTTACATCACCCAACAGATAGCGGTGGCTGGTGCTTGGAATAAGACACGTGCACGTAATCCACGGAAGTATCCCTGTATCCCACCGAACCTGTAAACTTGCTTAAATGCATCTATCATGCCTTGAGCGTGCACACCATCCTGCTGTGTGTTTAACACTGTCTTGCAAACATCCAAAGGGGTCGTCGCAGCAGCCGCAATTGCACCTGCTGCTGCACCTAATTCCATATAAACAAAGACGATTAAAACTTTATTCAACTACGTTTCTCGCATCAAAATACATTTATTTTGTTCAAAATTTAATATTTCAAAATAATGACAAATTAATTTGATTTTCTATATAGTTTTTGCAACATAATTTTATCTTTTTTAATAATATCAGAAACCTATAGTAGAGAAAATCGATATTATTGATAATTAGATGACTCACCCGATCCAATATGTGCTATTGGATTGTAAACGTGCTCTGGATTTGTAATTGATTGTACAAATTCATAAGAGATAAAATGAATACTCTGAAAAGGCACATTCATAGCCAATTGAGTTGTGTAACTCCTGTAGAATGCAAATATCCCTTCTTTCTGGTACACATGTTGTATACAATTCAATACATTTCTATAAGGGGAATTATACATCTGCAATCGTTGTTTAACCACTGTAAGAAGATAATATTCTATAAATTCCGACTATCTACTATCTTCTAAAATTAATCTTCAAAGATCATCCCTATATATTTTTTACTTATAGTAAAGTTACAAAATAGTAAAAGAAATTGGTAATAATATTCAAATCATGATTAGATAAAAAACTGTATATCTATTTTAATTAACATTGATTGAAGTACGTAGATTGTAAGATTATCTATATTTACAATGATATACGTTATCAATAAGACTGTATCATGCATTATATGTATATCAAATATGTTTCTATATTTAACCTTCTGCTGGGTTCATGACACCATCATGCAGAACTGTTGCTACGCAACCAGCTGCCCCATAGACAAGATGATTGAATTGAGATCTAGTACTCTTAAACTTTTCTTTAAGACACTCATAGCAAGAAAAGTATAAAGCATGTGCAGGACCGGCACCAGCAACCACTGCGCTGACACCCCTAATTGGCCTCAATACACCTTCTTGTCGTATCATTCTGTACAACACCTCTCCTATCCCTCCTCCTCCTCCTGGACCAGGAGTTAATGCCTGCATCCTTGTCTAGACACATAAAGATAAGAAACATTATTACTAATTAAAGACATAACAAAGTAACTCTATTTTGTTTGTATATATTTTTGTATACTATTCAAATAGCTTTGTGTTAATATTTTACAATGCTGTTTTAAAAACGTTGTCTATCACATAAGTACTTTAAAATAGAATGATTTGCTGATAATGAGAACAGTGACTATCAACTCTGATCATAAGCGAAAGTAACCTGGACTTAATTGATGACTTTTAGATGTCAATTTGCTTTGCATTAAAGTAGAATAATAGCATATCTGTATTATTCCTTTGTATAATAAATGAAAACAAGATCTAATATATCAGCCAAGAAAGCACGCACAGTATAGATAGTAGTCTGAAAAGGAGACCAGAAATAGAACTCACTGCCGACAAACTATGTTACATAATGAATAGTAAACACTTGCATTCTGAGAAAGAATATAATATAATACATTATTTATAATATATTCATCTTGTTGTATCCATTATCTGATATAAAGTAACTATTGTCTCAATTGTCATGTACATTTCATGAAACTATATGATAATATCTTATACAATTATCAAACGAGTCATAATGCGTAAATACAAATTGATCCAACCATTTCTTACACAATGTCTATCAGTATGGCCTTGACAAATTTAGTGTTTTTTTAAATGTATATATATATATATAAAATAAAAACATAAAACTGAGAATTTTTGTAATACACTTATTTTACAATATATGTGATATATTTTAAATAATATGCAGAAAAGAGAAAATATACAGTTAATTAAAAATATTAACTTGTTTAAATTCATGTACATGGCACAAAGTTAAG